CTTGAAAGGGGAAAACTGGAGGAGGAGCTGAATGTGCTGGATACTACAAATGGAGCTTGCTGCTTTCTGGAAAGGCTGATGGATATTCTGCTTCTGGAGGAAGGGAAAAGTTAGGCTGGAGCGGGAGTCAGGGAGCAAAAGGCTCATGCAAAAGTGCTGAACCTTTCCCAGTGCTGAACCTTTACAGGTATTCAGGGCTCAGAGGGCTTCCAGCCTTTTGGGAGAGGTAATGGCATGGAAAGGAGACTAGGATACAAAATTCCATATCCATATGTAAAGCTGCCAAGGTAAAAACATGGGATCTTATCACCCGGAGCTGGCGTGAAGGGAACCTCACCGTCATTCCCGGTCCTGGAGACGGTTTAGCCTCATAAACCTGAGCACCAGACGTTCTCAGTAGGATGTGTCTGACTGAGATCAGTCTCCTGCCCAGGGAGCTGCTGGCTGGGAGGGATCATTTCCCTGCAGAAAATTCCCTGCCCATTGGAATTTCTGGCACGGGATTAGCTGGCTGTCAGCTGCCCGATGGCGGGAAGGGGGCACGTGGGCTGCGTGTCCCCGAAAAGAGACGAGAGGTGCTCGTTCGCCCAGATCTTTGTGTCTTGGCTGCTGCTGGAAGTCACAATGTTCCCCGCTCCCAGTCTCCCAGCACAGCTGATTTATTCTGCCCAGTGCTTCAGGAGATATCCCAAATACGCTGCCACGGAGCCAAGAGAGCAGATCCTGAAACTGGAGCCACAGCCCGAGACTTCAGTAAACAGGATGGGGGGAGCATGAAGCATGGAGTCCAGCCAGCATTGGGATAGCTGCGAAACAACCCAGCAGAGCAGTGCTCCCAGAAATCCAGCTCCCAGAAATCCCAGCACCAGTGCTTTGCTTCCACCTATAGCCAAGGGTTTTTCAGGGGGTGATTTGATGAGTACTTTCTTGGAGAGTTCTTCTTCATCCTCACCTACGATTTGACTTTATTTTTACAGAGCCTGAGCCCAAAGATCATTTTGAATACCTGATTTAAACCCCCAAAACAGTAGAATTTGGCCAGGACAGGTGGCAGAAGAACTTTTCCCTGATGTCCCCCCTGTGCTGGACCTGAACTGAGGTGTGGGTTGAGATGCAACAGGGAGCTGGACACAGCAACTCTGCATGCCAGGGAATATCTATCAGCCAGAAGTGTTCCAACTTCTGTTCACCCAGGCTTGTGCTTATCTCCGCAATTATTTTGCTCTCCCTTCCACTAATTGCTGCTATTAAAAATATCTCTTATAAACACCCGGGAGCCAGTCTGAGCTGGGGGGGGCAGGAAGGATCTCTTTGCTTTGCCTTCTTGTTTGGCATCTGGAGGAGTGGTTGTGGAAGTTCTAATGCAATGTGTCTCCATGAAATCCATCCTGGTTCTCTCTGGGAAATGGGATCTTGATGTCAGCACTCCACACTTCCTGGGAGGGCACTGCAAAGACTAACGAGAACCACTTTAGCTGCATTTCCCTTAAAAAGGGGTTTCTCTGTGACAGTGTCTCTACTGATAAGGTGTCAGTCCCGCTCCCAGGCAAACAAGCTGGAGCACTGAAGACAATTGAGGAGTGTGGTGGCAAAATTCTCTGGATTGCTGAGTCCTCACAGTAGGCTGGCAGTTGATAAATACCTGGAAATGCTCTGCATCCTCCCTGTCACCTTTATTAATATTCATTTATGCTAAAGGAACACCAGCAGCACTAACTGCAGGTACAGTTGAACATTTGTGCAGTTTTCAGAAATAGTGGGAGCAGTGACACTAAACATATGCAGGAATCCCCATAGTTATGAATATTTACAAATATTGATTTTGGCAAGAGCACCTAATTCAGATGTTCTGAGCTCCCTAATGCAGCGTGTGTGTGTGTCTGTCGCACAGTGCTCCTCAGACTCGGGTCTGAGTTAGTCTCAGATCCAGGGATTTCCCTCGGTGAATCACTTTGTAATGAAATTTCAGTGTTTGGGAAATGCAGTTGGGGAATAAACCCCCTGGCCCAGCTGCGTGTGGTGAACACACAGGATCTGAGTGGGCAGTGCCCGAATTTGGCTCTATTGCTTTAAATGAACCAGAAACATGATTTTCCTGACACCCCAACAATCCCACCCTGTGCATCCCTGAGAGCATTGTCCAAATGCTCCTGCAGCTCTCTCAGCCTGGGGCCGTGCCCATTCCCTGGGGAGCCTGGGCAGTGCCCAGCACCCTCTGGGGGTAGAACCATTTCCTCATCTCCAGCCTAAATTTTTGTCTTCCTATAACATTCCTGGTAAGTGTAGGGAAATAACCCAGAGAAGACACCCGGATGGGTTTTCTTTTTTTGTTTTCCTATGCTACAGCAGACACCAACAGTGATTTCTTTTCATTCTTCATGGATACAATCAGAGACATGGCTTCATTATTTTATTTTTTCAAATTTTTTTTTCAACTTTGAAACCATTTGAAAAACTATATTAAGAATAGGCTTTCTGGAAACTGGGGTCAAAATGAGCAGAGACAATACATCCCTAATGAAACTTCCCTAAACCATCCAGTGACAAATGGGGCTTTTCATTCCCATTTCACTCCAGATGTCAATGAAAGCACAGCTCCTTCTAAAGCAGCCTAATGTATGTAAACCATCGCAGGAAGCAGAGCCCGCAGAGCCTAGGAGACTGCAGATGGAGAGAAAAGGCTCCTGATTCCATAAAAATAACAAAACCTGTTTTACCATATTGTGCATTAAATATTGTTCATTTGCATACTTTCCATGGCAAGGTTCTCAAAGCCCACCATGTGGTGGACTTGTTGGAAGTCGGGAAAGAGACTCTTTCCCCAAATGGAGACGTGTTAGTAGAAGCTGCTGCTTAATTAGAAAACAAAAATAGCTGATTTCCTCTATTTTTTTCCTCCTTTTCTAGGTTTTTTTTTTTTCTTTCCAGTGTGGATTTTTGGTTGCTTACCTATAATTCAATAGACTTAGGAGGGGAGGCATAGGTGCAGTCACTGCAAAATAACTGGATTGCTGGTGTTTTACAACAGCCTGCCTGCTTGGAACAGGCAGCAGCAGGGATTCCTCCATGGAGAGTTTCCAGCAGATAGCCAGGCAGATTGTAAATACCTCTTAGATTGTTTCTTTTCCATCTTTATATAGAATAGTGTGATTTTATTTGTATTTATTGTGCATCCGTGGCTGAAGCATTGGGCGGTGCAAATGTGCAATGCCACAAATTAATCAGGGGAGCCTAGAATATCCATAGCTGGAAGAGGCTCACAGGGATCAAGTCCAACTCCTGGCCCTGCACAGGACACCCCAAGAATCTCAGCTAAAGGCATTAAAAGGAAAATGTGCTCAAGGAGAAGAAAAAACTTCAGGGTGGGAGTCTTGTGTATGCAGGAGCTGGCAGGGTTTGGAGAAGGATGGACTGAGATGTTCTTGGAGAGAGCAGATCCCCTGTCTTAACAGCCATGGCTTGGACCCTGCCCACAGCAGAGGCTTGGAACGGGGTGATCTTTAGGGTCCCTTCCAACCCAAAGCATTCCGCAATGCCGTGCTCCCGATCCCTCTCTGCCTCGGGGGTTCTGCGGGAGCGGTGGGTGGCATCCGAGCACAGGCCCCCATTAAGCGCAGCCCTGGAGAGGCTGGGCCTTTGAGGCTGGAGGCTGCCAGCTCCGATCAATCCCTTGGTTTATAGGCTGCCAACGTAAAGAGTGCGGGGTGGGCGCCGTGCTCCCGAGGCTCCGGAGGCTGCACTGGGCTCCGGAGGCTCCGCAGGGCCCCGGCATTCCAGGCCTTTGCGGGAGGCCCAGGAGCGGCCTGCGCGCTTGGCCCGGCCCGTGCCTTGCTGGGCAGGGTGCAGATCAGACTAGAAGGTGGGAAATCATTCTTTCGGCTCTGCTTTTTCAAGAAAAAGCGGTTTTTAGCCCCACAGAGATCCCTTCGCTCCTCTCTGGGCTGCTGGGATGTGCTCTTTGTACACTTGCTTTTCCGCAGCCTCACAGGACACAGCGCATCAAACTGCCGCCCTCAGTGCCATGGCAATCCCCTGTGCACCCAAACAGGGAGCTCTGGGCTGGGAGAATCCCCTGTGCACCCAAACAGGGAGCTCTGGGCTGGGAGAATCCCCTGTGCACCCAAACAGGGAGCTCTGGGCTGGGAGAATCCCCTCTGCACCCCAACAGGGAGCTCTGGGCTGGGAGAATCCCCTCTGCCCCCAAACAGGGAGCTCTGGGCTGGGAGAATCCCCTCTGCCACCAAACAGGGAGCTCTGGGCTGGGAGAATCCCCTCTGCCACCAAACAGGGAGCTCTGGCCTGTGGGAATCCCCTGTGCACCCAAACAGGGAGCTCTGGGCTGGGGGATGCACCCCAAATTTCCCAGGAGGTTGGTGGGGACACTGACACCTCCCAGCTGCTGGAACTTGGAGAGCCCAGGGGGGACTTGCACTGGGGCAGGAGCATTTGGTTCTTCCAGCCTTGAATGTCCCGTCTGATGGAAGCTTTGCAAATAATTACCTTAATTAGACATCATGTCTCCTGATTATTCCTGTAAATATGGGTGAGTTGAGAGGGCCAGGGAAAATTCTTCCTGGATAAATTGTTGGGGGAATTATTTTTTTAATCTGTTGGATCAATTATTTTTATAATTAATCACAGAATCTCCGTGTGGTTTGAGTTAGATGGAACATTAAATTTCATCTCGTTCCACCCTCTGCCATGAGCAGGGACACCTTCCACTAACCCAGGTTGCTCCAAGCCCCATCCAGCCTGGCCTGGAACACTTCCAAGGATGGGGCGGCCACAATTTCTACAATTTGTCTGTGCAACAAACAATATTGAAGGTGCCCTAGTGGGGTTTTATTTAAAATCAGGTGATGGAGATAAAAGGAGGCCTGTGCTTGTCCTTGGTGCCATGAATGAAACACTGTTACTGTCACCTGCCTGCAGCCTCTGCTTTGGCTCTGGGAAGGCTGATGGTGTTAATTTGCTCCTTTTCCCTGTTCCCTTCTCTGCAGCAGCAGCAGGAGATGCTGGCCATGAAGCATCAGCAGGAGCTGTTGGAGCACCAGAGGAAGTTGGAGCAGCACCGGCAGGAGCAGGAGCTGGAAAAGCAGCACCGAGAGCAGAAACTGCAGCAGCTGAAAAACAAAGAGAAAGGGAAAGAGAGTAAGTGGCCAGAACACCACTGCTTCAGGTGTTGACAGGCAGATGGGAGCCGTGAAGGAGCCTCACAAAGCTGGAGGAACCTCCTTGAGGGCACGGGGAGCTTGTGGGAATTGAGGGGAAGAGAGAAATGCGTTTCTCTGCTTTATCTTCATTTTTGTCTCACTAAATGCCATTTTAGCATTTTTCAAAAGGAAGCGTATCCTCTCTTGCCTTGATTTAACATTTTTTGAAGTATTTTTGGCAGCATTCCTAATGGAGGCAGAATATTAAGCCCATAAAATACACCAGATGCACGCTGCACTCCTTTTCTCTTTCTGCTGCTCTGAATTTCACTCCTTTTAAGACATAGTCGAGTTCACAGCTCTCCCCTTTTTGAAGCATTTCCATTCATGGGGGGATTTTTTTTCAGGAGGTTACAGCTTGTGGGTGCCTTCCCCAGTCTGTGTCATTATGCACTTGAGGAGATCATTGTGGCCTCACAATGTCCCTTATCAGAGACACTCTGGGCTGCTTGTTCGGGCTTTTTCTGCAAGAGAATGGGGGGAAAAATATCTCAAAATACCTCGCCAAGTTGTGCCATCAACTCCTCAGGTCTGATTTCAGATGAGAGAAGTGGTGGAAGGAAGATGGGATGCTGGCTGGGAACTGGGAATAAGATAAACCTCCGAGAACTTTTTCAGTAAGATAAAACTGGGGTCTGGGAGACCTTTTTAAGTGCTAGAAAGAACAGAGGTTCAGAATCCCTAAGCATTTCCTCTTCCCCCTGCTGCTCCCATCAGCTGTTGATGTTTGATCCCTGTGTTGCTGGGCCTCTCCTCAGAACCAATACCTGGCCATTCTCATTAAAGTAATCTGGAAAGAAATTAAAATGCCTGAATCTCTGGAAAATGGAAGCAAAGCATCTTTTGGGTGAAACACAGAGGTGTAGAGGAAAAAACCCAGAATTTGGGGATGTTAAGTTGAAGATCCTGTTCCCATGGCTACCATTTTATTTTTAAGTTACTTTTTATTTAAGAAGTGCTGTGGTGTAGAATCATTATTGCACCTCAGTGCTTAAGGATACTTAAGCTATTTTTTCTCACATCACAAAATTTGGCAAAGAGAAGCTAAAATTGTCCTGATCTGAAATATGAAGAGTGTGAGAGAGGTGGAGTTTGTTCTGCTTCCTTGTTAACACCTCTGCTCTGGAGCCAGGCTGGGAGAGCTGGGAGTGCTCACCTGGAGTGGAGAAGGCTCCAAGGGAGAGCTCAGAGCCCCTTCCAGGGCCTGAAGGGGCACCAGGAGAGCTGGAGAGGGACTGGAGACAAGGGATGGAGGGACAGGACACAGGGAATGGCTCCCACTGCCAGAGGGCAGGGATGGATGGGATATTGGGAATTAGGAGTTGCTCCCTGGGATGGTGGGCAGGCCCTGGCACAGGGTGTTCAGAGCAGCTGTGGCTGCCCCTGGATCCCTGGCAGTGTCGAAGGCCAGGTTGGAGACTGGGGCTTGGAGCAGCCTGGGACAGTGGAAGGTGTCTCTGCTGATGGCACAGAGTTGAAATTAGATGAATTAGGGTTCCTTCCACCCCAAAGCTCTCTGAGGTTCTATGATATCTTTCAGTAAAGGAGGTAAGCCTTACACTCCAAAAATACTGAACTTCAAGTCTTCTAAGCAACAGGTTTATGCCAACCTGACAGAACACAGCCAGGTTTGGGTGTTCTAAGGATGCTAATGGATTAAGGATGACACATTCTGGAGGGAGAAGGCTTTCAAGCATGGATTTGTCACCCCTTCTGCTACTCAGGAATTTATCTGCAGCTCTTCGCTTGAACTTTCCACCAAACTGGTGTTTGTGGAGCTGGTGAGAAATGTAGGGCTCCAAAAACAGGGAATTTTCTCGCTTTGGTATTTGAACCATTTTACAGCTCCAGGCAGAGCCTTGTGGGAATGCTGCAGCTCCCTGCTCTTGGAGACAGCCCAGGAATTGTTCTCCCAGCATGTCAAATGTCACCTTGTCATCGAGCAGGAGGGCGCAGGACACGAGAACATGGCAGGGTGATCTTTTCGTTCTTGTTCCCACTGGAGCCAGCAGCTTCCCTGGTCTTTTCCTTTCCTCCCAGCCCAGATATTTTCCATGGAGCTCCTGCCTTACGCCACGGTGTGGATGAACCATCATTTTCCACGCGTCCCCTTGCCAAACTTGGGATGCATTGCTCCGTCAGGAGTCCTGCCTGGGAGTCTGGGCTGTCAACCCGATGATCACTGGGATCCATCATGGCAGGGGAACAGCCTGCTGTCCATTGTGCAGGAAATCATGATTAGGGATTACACAGTTGACATTTTAGCTCTGCAGAATGACTGACTCCCTTTCTTTAATGTTTTTTTTTAATGTTAGGTTTTCTATCTGAAGCCAGAGATCTGCGCGCTTGTAAATGAAGCGAAATGTTACGTCGGTTGTGGTGTGCACAGAGACTTGGGAACAAAGAGGTCCCTGTTTACAGGAGTTTTCAAGACAAAACCTACACACGAGCCACTGGGCTCATTCCCCTTCTGCTTTTAGATGTGACATTTAACAACTTGAGGGTGCACAAGACCCCTTTTCTTAAATAACTTTGGTTCAAAGAGAGCTGGGATACCCCGGACAAGTGCTTTATTCTGAGTGTGCTTCTATGCAAGTGTAATATCCTCTTCTGGTGAAATAAACCCAATTTCATCTGTGTTTTCAAACATAACTTGTGAATCTATGCCAAACTAAAGGGATAAAAAGGGAGAGCTCCTTACTGCAGGTGCTTTGTTCTCTCTTTGAAAGCAAAGTTCTTTTTTTTTTTGGACTGGAAATGAAAGGTTTTATTTGGGATCAATTTTAGAAATTTAAAATTCCTTCAAGTACGTGAATTGATTTAATAACCTTTTTTGATTTTTGTTTTTTTAATCGCAGGTGCAGTGGCAAGCACAGAAGTGAAGATGAAATTGCAGGAATTCGTGTTAAACAAGAAGAAGGCTCTGGCCCACCGGAATCTCAACCACTGCATATCCAGCGACCCTCGCTTCTGGTACGGGTAAGTGATGCTGGGCTTTCTGCAGGGCTCAGCCAGTGCCATCTTTATCCCCAGTTCCCTGAGGGAATACACCTGATGTGCCTGTGGGGTGAGCCAGAGCGGTGACAGGATCCCTGTGCATTCCCAAAATGCGCTTTCCAGAGGGTTCCAGGGTGAGTGGTTTTGGTGGCTGCTGTGGTGGTGTCATGGTGCTCTGTGTGTAGAGAGAGGTCTTTGTGTCGTCTGTAATCCACAATTATCCAAACTCACAAGTTCTACAGTCAGAGATCAGCTTTTATAAGTCCTCCAGCTTCTCACCGAGGATTTGATCCCACCTGCTGTTATAAAACTTGAACTTTAGTCAAATGAGGAATAGTTTTTATGTTCAGGAGCTGGAATTTGGTGATCCTTGTGGGTCTCTTCCAACTCAGGGTATTCTATGATTCAGTGAATTCCTGCAGCTCAGGATACTTAAACTTTGCATTTTAAAACTTTTAACACTTACTGGTATTCTTAATATCTCAGACTTGGAAGTTTTGTTTACTTGGCTCTTACTGGAAATATCCAATGGGTCCAGTCTGCACTTCTAATCACAACTGCCCCAACATCTCCGTTTTCAACTGAAAATATTCAACTGCAGGTCTCCAGTTGCAATTTCAGAAATCAACTTTTTCATTGTACTAAGACAGTTAGAAATTTGATGTGACTTGGAAGTTTCCACTGCTATGATTTTGTCACTGTCTTTATTAAATAAATAGCCAAAATGCTTTGGATATTGGCTTTAGTGACCTCAAAATTCATGAAATTTTGAGTTACAAAAGTAATTTCATTTTGCCATGAAATTAATGTTCAGGCTGAAGTACTGACAGTGTTTTAAGTCTTAAGAAATGAACGTGTGTAAAGGGAGGATGAGGTCATAGCCAGAAGATGTTTCCAAATTCCAGAAACTGAGCTGCAATGAAATTTGAAAGCTATCCCAGCTCTGAGCCAGCACAGAAATGCTGATGTGGAGTTGGCAGAAGAATTCAGATGTTATTGGAGGCAAAGTGAGATTGAGCAGCTTTAATACAACTCTGAAAATCTAATCTGAGACTTGGGGATTTCATTAAAGGTGGTTGAAGACTCTGAGCCTCCATTTCTTTAAGGCATGGTTAAAATAACAGTTAATGCAGGAGTGGTACAAGGTCAGTTAGAATTCAGGGTGCCCAGAGAAGCTGTAGCTGCCTCTGGATCCTTGCAAGTGTCCCAGGCTAGGCTGGATGGGGCTTGGAATAGCCTGGGATAGTGGAAGGTGTCCCTGCTACGACAGGGGGAGGAATGAGATGAGCTTTAAATCCCTTCCCATCCAAACCGTCCTGGGATTCTCTGTGATGCAAGGCCAGGGCTGCTGCAGGTTTTTAGCCACGTCTTGTTTGGGGTTTCAGGATGTTGCCTCAGCTGATGCTGAGAACTTTCTGAGCCCCAAAGTGTGGTTTGGGTTTGTTGTGGCACTTAGGCATCCTAACACCCCTTCCCTGTGATGCTCCAGGGATGCCAACAGGCAGAGAGAACACAAACCATCGCACAAAGATTTCAGGTCATACCATCCCCTCGTTTTCCATCTGTTCTGTGGTGGGGTGAGGATTGTTATTCTGTATTCTAACCCAAGATGGACAAAGCCTTGGAGCTTCACAGCTCTTTCTCAGTGCTGAATTCTCCTGCTGAGCCCTCAAGGAGGGCAGATGGCAGCAACACAGGATTTTTTAAATGCACCCTTCACTTTTTCAGGCAGAAGTTGAGGATTTTTTTCCTTTCCATTCTATTAATTTATTTTTTTTTCAAAAGGAGAATCAACCTTTAAATTCCTGACATATTAGTATTTATTTATATGGCATCTCATAGGTTACCAGCTGAGCTCTGGAGGCATTCCTGTCCCCACATAGCTGTGCTGTGATGCACTTGGGTGGTGGCTGGGTTGAGCACATGCGAGCGGGGCTTGCAGGAGATCCACTCCACGCTCCCACTGTGAGCAGGCCAGGCCATTAAGTGCTAGCAGATGCTGGGACAGCCTCTCGAAGCAACACGCCTGCTTTTAAGCACTTCCCTTGGTCTTATTAAGGTTTGTGAATTCCTTTCTGGTTTTTTTTTTTTGGGGGTTTTTTTGCTTTTTTTTTTTGTAATTTTTTTTTAATGGAAAGCATTGCTTAAGGAAAAAAAAAGTCTCCTAAGAATATTGAGCACCATGGTGGTCTGACGTCAGTGGCTGTGACAGGAAAAATGTTCTTCTGGCACAGAATCACAGGGGTATTAGAGCTGGAAAAGACCTCTAGGATGATATCCCAGCCCTGGAAATGCTCGAAGCCAGGTTGGACAGGGCTTGGGATGGTGGAAAGGGGTGAACAAGATGGTGTTTAATGTCCCTTCCAGCCCAAACCACTCTGGGATTTTGTGATAGGCAACAGCAGAGGAGGTTCTTTGGAACTGCATTGTCAGACTGTCCCTCCCCTGGATTTTAAACCCACTGGGCAGCCTGGCTCCCAGGAATTTCTGCTCTCTGTCATATCCCTGGGAAACTGTCAGCAGTGCTTGGGAAGCAGCCACTCCGTGTGCTAGCAGCTATGGAAGGGAGTTTAACTGAGTATTTGCATGGTGAGGAGGTAGAGAGGTACAATTATACTTTAAATTGCGCATTAAATTATACATTGAATGATCCCAACATCCATGGGTGTGAACACAAAACATTCCAGCACAGGTACACATCTATGAATGTATATTCAGTGCACCTTGCTGAACATGATTGAAGGATGAAATACCAAATAATGAAATCATTAAGGTTGGAAAAGACTCCCAAGATCATCACTCCAGCCTTTCTGTCTGTGCACATGGATGTTTGAAGGAGCTCAGGGAACAGGGGATGCCTTGAATGAAGGGATGTGCTTTCAGGAATGTCTGCAAGCTCCGTGCAGTGTCCAATTTCCTCTCCTCCCAGAGCTCTGACATTCCTGAAGGGGCATGCAGACCAGGGCATGCTGCTGGAAGCAGCGTCAGACCCCAGTCTGGGAGCCAGGGAATGTATTCCTGTTTGCAGAGCTCAATATCTGTCATTCAGCAGCCCTGGAGCACATCTAAACAGGCCCTTTGAATTCCTGCACATTGCCTGACAAAGGGTTGAAAATAGCTTCAATGTACTCGATTGTGCTGCATAGGTCATGATTTAAAAAAAAAAAAAAAAGTAATAAAAAGGATGAAAAAAAAAAAGGTCTGTTGCTCATATAGAGCCAAAAATGTCATTGTGTGACTTGATGGGGCTCAGGGCTCTCAGATCACAGCACCCAGGATTCCTGGGAGTGAAACATCATTCCTGGGAGTGCTGCCTTGCCATGGAATGAGCAGATCCTGGGAGAAAAAGCCACGTCTCTTCCCAGGAGGGAGTTTTTTTTTTTTTAGTTTGTCTCTGTTTTGATTGCAGGTGAAGATTGAAGTGTGCGTGGGGGCATTCAGGGGTGGGGATGTGGCACAGCATGGGGTAGGTGTGGGAAGCACAGCCCTGCAAGAGCCCCAGAAATAATTTTTCTTTATGTACAGAGAAATCTGGATAATGAAGAGGGAGGATTGGGAAACCACAGTCATTCATACTTCCACAGAATCCCAGAATGGTTTGGGCTGAAGGGACCCTAAAATCCATCCCATTCCACCCCCTGCCATGGGCCCGGACACATCCCACTAGAAGGTCTGTGGGAATAGAAAATGTTGTTCAAATAAAGTTTGCAGAAGGTTAGTTTTCCTTGTAATTATACAGAAAAGTCAATGTATTTTCCTAGTATTTCATTAGCCCCTTATTTTTTGAAGGCTTTATCTTGCAGTGGAATTGATGCTCTGGATCTCAGCAGCCAACTTCTAAGTTGAGCTTGCACTCAAGAGATTAGTACTGCTTGAGAAACAGTGTGAATTTGTGCAATTTTCAGCTGGGAATGGCTCCTTTTGGTTCCTTGAAGAACCTTTGTAGGAGAATATTTTCAGCTTGGTTTTTAGGCAGTACAAAATTTCAAAAAGTTGTTTTTTTTTTTTTTTCAATGCTTGGTTTCCATTGTCCCAAATCCATTAGTATTTAGAAGAAATATGGGGTTTAAATTCTATTTATTTTATTTATTTAAAGTGAAGTTGTGAGAGCCCAATGAGTGTCACCTGCATGGCTAAATCAGTCATTCTGCTGTGGAGCTGCTCTGCTGGCTGGAGCCTTCTCCCAGGCTGGTGAAGCTCCTGAGAAACAGCAAAGCTGGGCACAAGTCATTAAGCAGGAAAGACGCAGCCAACAAACTGGTAGGAGGCTGAGAAAACTCATTCATTATTTAATATCCTCAGCAAACAGACTGTAATTTACTTCCAGCAGCCTGCTCAAACAAAGCCATAAATTATCATGGCTTTCATGAAGTTCAGCTGGAAAGGTGCTGAGTGCTTTGGCCTCATCTCTGCTGAGCTCCTGGGATGGGAGGACAGGCAGGAGGAAGGGCAGGGGGCCACCTGTGTGCCATGGCTGCTGCTGGCCAGGTGCAGTGCTTCAGCCTTGGACTCTGTCTGCTGAGCCTGGGGTTTATTTTGGGGAGGGAAATGGTTCAGCTTGTGCTGAAGTTGAGATGTCACCTGTGCTGAGATTCAGGAACATGATTTAGCAAAACCCAGCACGGGTTACTGTCTTAGAATTTAAACTTAGGGTTAAATACCTGCATGAGCTGAGCCAAGGTGGAGTCTTACGCTGAAAGCTAAGTTAATTACCTTCCTGTGTATTGGATTTTAGTGGATTTTTTTGTAGGAGTGTCCAGGAGGAGAAGGCCTTTGCCCCGTTCCCTACTCCCTGAGGTGACATGCGCTGCGCTCGTTCCCTCTGCGTATCACCAGTGTAAAGCTTGTCCCTTCTTCTCTTTCCTTCTGTGCAGGAAGACCCAGCACAGCTCTCTGGACCAGAGCTCCCCACCCCAAAGCGGCGTCTCCGGCACCTACAACCACCCAGTCCTGGGCATGTACGATTCCAAAGACGACTTCCCACTCAGAAAAACAGGTAGGGCTGCCCTTCTCCCTCCGTGCTGCCCATCCCTGCCGCTACGCTCAGCCCTCTGGTCTGATTTTTCCTGAAAAAGAAGGGATGCTGCCAAAAAGCTGGATTCCAGGCTTGTTTCCCAAGCCCCCTCTCCATCTGCTCCCCCTTCACCTGTCTCTGTGCTCCCAGTGTTCCAGGGAGCCTGGGGCTGCTCCGGGATGTGTGAGGAGTGTGGGAGACAGCGGAGCCGCATGTCAAAGTTTGGGAGATGTTTCCCCAAACCCAAAACTCTCACAGAGATCTGCGTGTCTCCAGCCCAAGTATGTTTGCTGAGTGAGAAAAGTACTGAGAAAAAGTTCATTTCTTGGGGGATTTGCATTTTATGTACAAGTTTGTACCTGAGGTAAATAAGGAGGTTTGTGCCAGGGCGAGCACCAGGGTTTCCTGCGAGGGTTTGGTTCACACCTAGACAGTTCTCTTTCAGTCTGGCTTCTCCTTGCACAGTGGCTGAGCAGGTCAGTTATTCCTCAAGCCTGTATTATGTAAGCCAGGTTGTTTGGCTTGGCTGTGGCCTCAGCTCCGTAGCACATGCCTGAGCCAGCACAGCCTGGGCTCCCAACCTGCCCAGCTCGGGGCTGCTGCCTTTGGGGAACAGCTCAGCTGAGAGCTTAGCCTCACTCAGGGAGCTGTTCTGCTTGCTGGCCGTGCTGGGAATCACTTCAGGACAGCAAAAAAAAGCTTCTCTGGAAAGATCGCACAATCATTAAGGTTGGAAAAGCACTCAAAGATCATCCAACCTTCAACCAGCGCTGCCAAGGCCACCTCTAATCCATAGCCCCAAGTGCCACATCCACAGGTTTTTTAAACACTTCCAGTGATGGTGACTGACCATTGCCCTGGACAGCCTGTTCCAGTGCCTGACCAGCCTTTCAGTGATGAAATTTTCCCCTTTTGGAAATGTCTCACTAGGAACCATAGCACCTGCCCTGCTGGATGGAGTCCCATCTGTGCAGTTGTCTCTGTTCCCCCTTGGGTTGGTTGCTTGATGAGTAACAAGCACTTCAGCTGCACAGGAACCCAGTCAAAAACTGGCTCCAAGATATGGGTTTTCCCTGGGAAAGGTGCCCCTGTGGCTCTGGGGGTGGTACTTTTGACTCTGCCCTTTCCGGAGGACTCCAAAAGCCGAGCTTAGAAAACTGGATTTGCTGAAGGACAGGGCATCCTCTCCTCTCTGCTCCTGGGAGATGGAAGAGCTTCCAGGCTTCCCTGGGGATTCACAGCATTTCCATGCAGGGAAGCATCCCTTGGCACCAAACCTATCACTTAGGGCCTGTGGGCAGCCTGATTCCAAGAGATTTTTAGCTCTTTCCTATGCCTTGTGATGCCAGGTGATCCGTTCCTACCCTGTTAGCGTTACCACAATAAAAATGGGCTTTGACATGCTCCCAAACCTGCCTGGCTCGTCACCTCAGGGCACCTTGTCAGACTGGCTTTGAGCAGCAGTCGCCCTTCTTGTTCCCAGTGTCCTGGAAGGGAATTCCTCCTGCAGGAGAAGGAAGACAACTGCACATCTCACCCTGTGCTGCTTCCCAAACTGGGATCTCACCAAAGCTCCTGCTGAGTGAACTCCTGCTGTCAGACAGGGGGAATTAAGGATGATAAATGGAGCTAATCACATTATTAAAGAGTGGAAGCTACCAAACTCATTGTTGTTTTCCAGCAGGAGGACGTTCAGCTGATTTTGGTTTGCCAGCATGCTGGCTCTTGTGTTTTTTGGGCACCAGCATCAATCTCCTGGGCACTGCTCTGGGATACAAACAAGTTCACTTTTGTAAGGTTCAGGGGAGAATTTTTTTCTTTTTTTCCATTGTTTTCTTTTATTTTCCTTTTAACGCAACAGCACGTCAGGCTCTGGCACAGCAATATCCTGCAGAATTCCCAGTGCCAAGAATGTTAAGTTGCTTGGAGAAGAAAGGCTCCTGAACAGTCTGGTGTAAACAAAAGGCAGGGAAGGCTGGAGCCCATCCTAAATAAAGTTCTTTATTACGGGTGAGCTTTTCAGATTTTTGGCACCAGGCAACGCTCTGGCTTTGTGTTGGTAATTTAAAACCGCCATATCGTGTAGTCCAATTTTATTAAATTTGATTAAATATTTGCAGCTCAAATAACAGAACCCATCACAATACAGCTCTGATTACCAGGGCTGGAATCCAACCAGCACCGTTGCTGGGGAGAGGGCGGCTTAGGGGGTGGTGGGAAGGCAGTTGGAATTATCATTTCTCCCAGCCTGCAGAGCTGGGAGCATGTCCTGCAGGTTGAGACATTTTTGGGAAGAATAAATATTCCTCATCCCTGGAAGTGTTCCAGGCCGTGTTGAACAGGGCTCGGAGACCCTGGGATAGAGGAAGGTGTCCCTGCCCATGGCAGGGGGTTGGAACAAGGTGAGTTTTAAGGTCCCTCCAACCCAAACAATTGCATTATTCCATCAAATTTGCCATTTCCCTGCATTTAGCAATACTCTGTGTCTTTATCCTTATTTCAAGCATCCTGATGGTCACAGGTTATGGGAGAGGGAGGATGTGCAGGAAAAGTATCTTCAGAGTGCTTGAAAGCCTTCAGCAGGGGGAACAGTCAGCTCCTGCAGTGTGCTCCTGATGCCTCCCATGCCCTGAAATCCAGCTCTCTCTGATTTGTTTTCCTAAATTATCCTCCAGTTTCTTGGCTGTTTGGTTTCAGCGTGAAATTGTTTTCCTGGTGCAGTTACTAATTGCTTGAATCCTGTTCTTAGCCTGGCTGGGGGATTGATTTCACTCTCCTCCCTCTCTCCAAGCACTTTGGGGCTCTTCCTTTTTTCACTGATCTAAGGTCATTTTGGTTGGTGCTGCTCCTGCCTTTGCTGTTAAATACCTGGATTAGCGCAAGGATTTTTATTTCCCCTTCTGGGGAGTTTACTTTGCTGTGTGTGGGATTTAATGTCAGAGTTTTGTTGACAGCTTTTGAGAGGGGAAATTCTAAGTGACCTCTTCTGCTCCCAGATCAAGGTTGGTGTCTCCCAAACATAGTAACATTTGTTATGTGCTGCACTGGGATCCTCTAAGGAAAGTCTCTGGAGAGTCCTTATGGAGTGATTTTAGACTCTGGGTTGGGACAGCCTGTTTTGGTAATCCCAAGAGCTGTTTGTCAACACCTTTTGTGGAGCTGCTGAAGTGGGTTTTAGCAGAGCTTTTCAGTTTTGCATTTCCAAGGAATCGTGTCCTCATTTTCTCCCCAGGAACGAGGTTGTTGATGGCATTCCTGCTTTCTGAAATTTGAGCAGTGGATGTATTAGAACATGCTGTTACTTAGAAAGCTGACACCACTACCATCATGAAGATTTAAAGGGAATTATTTCACTTCTTAGCATGCTTTTCCTCTTGGACTTGATGATCTTAGGGGGCTTTTCCAACCTAAATGATTATGTGACTCCATGGTTCTTTTTCCATGCAGAAGAGAGGAGCCTGAGAGAGGAAAGCATCCAGCATCCTGTGATGTTGTTGGTATTGCAGAAAACTGGAGTTGTTTGGGTATTATTTGCTGTCCAATAATTTGCAGCTAAGCAGGTGAAATTGGTGTGAACTTGTTGCATTTAGAAAGTAATAAAAGGGAAAATGAAGGGGTTTGTCAACAATTATAATGCTGCATTTGTCAAGGAAAGCGTAATGTCCCTCTGAACTGGTTCTGATTATTGGAGTGTTTGGAGTGGTTTGTTTTAGGACAAAAGGTTGTTTGGAAGAAAATAGGCTAGTCAGAAACCCTGGTGTAATGTGGGAGTATAATCCAGAGGAAATCTTGGAGCTCTGTGTGGCATGGAGTGTCACTCCAGTTCGAGAGCATCTCTGCCTTCCCACCCACGTTGTCCTTCCAGCCAGCATGGAAGCCTGGCTTCCCACAGACCCACACACTGAGAGGAGGCCCTGACCCCCAGAGAAATCTTTGCTGGAAATACCCTGTGCTGCTCCAAGTGGAGGATGTCAGTCTGTCTGATCCAAAAATAACACTTAGCTTGGATATTGGGGAAGATTTCTTCCCCGGGAAGGTGGTCAGGCACTGGAACAGGCTGCCCGGGGCAGTGGTGGAATCACCATTCCTGGAAGTGTTCAGAAAGTGGAATGTGGCACTGGGGGACAGGGTTTGTGGTGATGATGAATTGATGGCTGGACTTGGTCATCTCAGAAGTCTTGTCCAGCCTTAATGATTGTAGAATTGTAAATACACTTCTTGTGAGTGGTGCACCAGAAGAGAAACCTCTTCCAGGAGGAGACCAAACAAAATCTTGTGGTTTAGTGTCACCTTTGTGGGATCCCAGTCACTCAGGAAACCCACCCTCCTCCTCCTTGGTCCTTGCAGCTCCATCTCTGCTTCCCAGGGGCTGCCAGGGGCCTGCACTGTTCATGGAATCCCAGGATTGGGTTGAAAGGAAACTCAAAGCCCATGCCATTCCACCCCTGCCATGGCAGGGACATCTTCCACTGTCCCAGGTGGCTCCAAGCCCCAGTGTCCACCCTGGCTTGGAAAACTGCCAGGGATCCAGGGGCAGCCACAGCTGCTTTGGGCACCCTGTGCCAGGGCCTGCCACCCTTCCAGGGAAGAATTCCTTCCCAATATCCCATCTAACCCTGGCGTCCTTCAGCTTAAGCTCCCTCCCTTCATGGAGGTTTCTTATGGATGTTAGAAGGGAGACAAGATCATTCTGTTGGCTTTTGCCTGACTAGTAAAAGTTCTTTGTAAAAGAACTTTGTAAAAGTGTAAGTTCTTTGGCTAGAACTTACAAATAATAATAATAATAATAATAATAATAATAATAACAACAACAATAAATTAAATACATCCCTTTCCAGTCCCCACCTGGTGAAATAAACATGTTCAAGGACTGGGAGCAGAGGTTTCAGGCTGCATTGTTTGCTTTTATTCCACAAATGTAGATGGGCAGTGGGGACAGCGCAAACTCTGCCCGGGACTTGGTGGGGTTTTGACTTTCACAGACTTAATGTCCAATTAGTTCAGCAGCTTAGGGGCTGCAATTCTAGGAAAAAAACAATGGAAATGACATAAATGTTGGAAGAATTGGATTACATGGGTCCTGCTGCACACAGTGATGTATAAGAGGGGTAACTTGGTTTGGAGCCTGTGAAAAACAGGGAAGCTTTTGGCTTATGTTCTGGTTATTAATTTACTTGGAGGAAAACAAAATATTCTTTGTATAAATCCTTATTATAGGCCAAATTAAGTATGTCAGTGCTTAAGAAATCCCACTAGCTTTGTGGGAGCTGACTCAGATTTGGACACGGGCTTCATTTGTTTGCTGGAGGGGAATTTTTCTAATTTTATGGCATTTGTTTTAATACTTCACCTGGAGATGTAGAGGAGCAGTAATTTTTTAACTTACGTTTGGTAGTTTGGTCTCCAGTTTTTAAATTCACTCCAGTTAGGAAGGCTTTGTTTGGGCATATTGCCTGGCAGGGTGAATCTGGGGAGATTTCCAGTGGAATTGGGGTTCCTGAGGCAGCATTGAACCTGCATTGACTGTCAGGTATTGATGCTTCTGCATTGTTTAAATTCCTGTTTTACACTTGTGAAAGACAGCTCTCTTCAGCTTTAAAATATTTTTATTATATAATAGTTTAAGAAACCATGTGAACAAGCCTAAATTATTTTACTATAAAAGAGGTTTTATGTAAATTCTGTGAGTTTGAGGCTGTGCTGTGCTGCCTGTGCTGAATTTTAATTCACCTACTTTGGGCTCTGGAGCACCCAATTAAAGCCGTGTAGGGATTATGCTCTCTGAGGTCCTGATGCCATGTTAGATTTGGGATTATATCTGAGGGATAAACAATAAAATCAGAGGAGGGCTTTAAATAGACCTTTTGGTGTTTCGAAACTCGATCCTCTAGCAGAAGGGGAAAAAACAGAGTGATTTTGTCTTAAAATAGTTTAATCTGACAAATTCCAATACGTTGCTTTGGCAATCACTTACGCTGGAGGTATTTTCTCTTTTAAAGCTGTCATTTTCTGTGCTTGTTCACCTCTTTGTTGTATGGGAGGAGATTTTTATTGTGGCTTAAAATACAGGGTGTGTTAGATAATCTGTGACCCCAAATCTTTTGTTTCCCTACCCATTTTTAAGGTGTTTCAAACCGTTTCCTTCTGTGTATTTAAAAGCCACCTAATTAATTGTGTGTTCCCAACAGAAACCATCCCTCATCTGAACACCAAGAATTAAATTTGGGCTGAAATACAGTTTTATTTCCATGTTTTCCTTTGTCAAAGGACAGATCCTTCCAACAGGTGTGGCATAGGCTTAGATTTCCTTGATTTAAAATGGGCATATCAGCATCCAGCTGTGGCACCTTCCCCTTCCACAGAATCCCAGAGTGGTTTTGTTGGAGGGGACCTTAGAGATCATCTCATTCCAGCCATGAGTGTGGCATCCAGGCAGCTATTAATGCTCAGAAATTGGGACAAATTAAAGCTGGGAATGTAAGGATGTGGGATGGGGTGTGTACCCAAACACTGCTTTTAAAATCATGCCAACTTGTGTTTCGAAGAGAACTCAGAGAAGTTGCTGCTTAGAGCATGAGCTTGTGTTTGAACTGGTCCAGTCTTTAATATTGCCCTGGGAGAAGATTTGCATTCAGTCCCCGGCTATTTTAAATGCAAATTCTCTCTCTGGAAGATAATTCCCCCCTTGCTAATGCACTTCATTCAGCATTTGAAGCATCATCTTGAGGAAGCACATTTTTTTTTTTACTGCTCCCTTTATCTCTTGCTGGCATTTTTCTGTCCAAAACATTCAGGAAAAATCTCTTTCCTTTCTTTTTTTTAATTTTTCTTTCCCCCCAAAATTCCATCAAAGGGCTGTGTTGATGACTTAACTTCAAACATTTGATCTTGAATTCATCAGCCTTCTGATTTTTCGAGCCCTGCAATTAATGTGGACAGGCTCGATCTTTGATGTGACCTGGTGGTCAAGGGAAACATAGCTGCAGCCAGACTGAGTTAATTCAAATCAGTTTGTAAACCCTGTTTTAATTCTCCCAAAGAAATGTAGATGATTTGCCCTGGAGTGTGTTGGTTGGTAATGGAGTGAGCACAGGATTTGCTGGTTCAAAGGGATTAAGCAGTGGGGCTGTTGAGGAAGGGAAAGGATGGGGCTGGTTCTCTCAGCTCTTTCAGGAGCCCTCAAACCCTACAGCAGGTGTTTCACTCAGGGCTCAGGAGATCAGAAAGCTCCCAGAGGAAATCATTTTGCAGGAGGAGTGTTGAATTAAAGCTTTGTGACCCTGATGGAGATTCAGTAATGTATGTGCTGTCACTGGCTGTCCTGGCCCTGGGGCCACTGGGGCTTCCCAGGAGCTCTGCCTTGGCTTTTTGGGATCTCAGGATTTGTGTTTTGGAGGGAGTCTCTCAAAAGCGTGGTGCACACAAGGCTGTGGTCACCGGAAATGCATCCACACCTGCCCTGGGCAGTCTGGAACTTCCCAGGTGTGTTATATGCTGTTAGGTAGGGTTGAACTGTGGGGCTGTGATGATGTAACCCCAAGTTGCTTCCCAAATAAACAAACAAACCTCCTCCTCCCTGGCAGTGGCTTTCCTTGGCCACGCTCTCTTGCCCTTTCCCTTGAGTTGACACTGGCTCCAGCTGACACAAGGAACCAGCAGGGAGACAATCACCTGATTTGCTTGTGGGGTTTGATTTTGGTGTTTTCTTTTCCCCTGCCGTGGTGTCCCTCCCTCAGCCAGCTCACCCTGGGGTTGGATGACTCCAAGGGTGTGGAGCTGCCTGTTCCAGCAGCACATCAGAGATAACCAACAGCAGCATCTCAGCTGGCTCAGCCATTCCCCTGCTGAATCCCAGCAGCTGGGTTTGCTGCTGGGTTAGGCAGAGGTGGGAAACTCTGCACTAATCCCGAGTCTGTGTCTTCGTTCGGAGAAGACTTTGCAGGATGATTATTATATTTTTAAGTCAGATGCCTGTCATTGCTGTTGTTGAATTCAGACATTGCATGAGCTGGGACCTGTTTGTTATATTAAAAATCTGTGTTCCAAATATTTGTTAGCAAATTACTTAATTTAATTTAGCTTCCTGCGAATGCTTGACTGCAGCCAACTCAACTCAGTTCAACACAACTCAGCTCAGCTCAACTCAATTAAATACAACTCAGCTCAGCTCAACTGCAGGCTCAGTAAAACACTGCTGAGATGCTCCTAACACTGTTTCCTTTGCTGGCCAGCCTCTGAGCCCAACCTGAAGCTGCGCTCCAGACTAAAGCAGAAGGTGGCTGAGAGGAGGAGCAGTCCCCTCCTGCGCAGGAAGGACGGGCCCGTGGTGACGGCGCTCAAGAAGCGCCCGCTGGACGTCACAGGTACGGCGGGTAAGTGACAATTCCTCAATCCTTCAACCCCTTCTCCTTTTCCAAAATGCCTTCCTGTCTCCTTTGTGTGCTTCAGCAGTGCTGGAACCAAGCTGAGGGCACTGGAATTGTCCAGCCTGGGGAGGCTGAGGTCAGGCCTCGTCCCCATCCGCAGCTCCCATCTCTGCTCCCTTTGACTAGGGACACACCTGGGGCTGTGTCAGTTAGGATGGAAAATAGGAAAAGGTTCTTGACCGAGGAGTTTTATACATACAGCTGTATTCAACTTTTTTTTTGACTACTCAACTGACAATTTCTTGTTGAAAAGTCCTGTTCTTCCAGGACCAAAGTTTGCAAGTGGGATCAGAGAGAAAATGATGAGATTATCATAAAGTTAATTCTTAGCACCATCTAGGGATGTCTCTGTGTAAGTACCACCCAGTGACAGCTTTGCCAGGCTTGTCTGGCTCTGGGGCACATAATCATCACTCCATCAAACTCAAAGTGAGCTCCCTTTAGACAGAGGGTGGGGTTGGGAGACCCTGGGATGCCTCAGCTCTTCTCTGTGTCAGAACCTCTCTGTTTGCAGAGGGGAAGGAGGATTTCAAGAGCTAAAAGTTGTGGAATCATAAAATACCCCAAGTTGGAAGGCACCCACCAGGATAATCCAGTCCAACCTTAGTCCTGCACAGGACACCACAAAAATCCCAGCCTGTGCCTGAGAGTGTTTTCCATGAGTTCTGGCAGCCTTTCAGACCTGAAAATCCAATTTCCTTCACTTACACAATGCTGTATGGCACATGGCTCCTGGGATAAATCAGCCTCTGCTGGCTGACCATTTTTCCCTGCAATGACTTCAGAAATGGCAGTGGAAGCTCCCATTTCTCACTGGCATGGACATGTTCAAGAAGCCAGCCTGGAACCTGTTGGAAAAGTGTCTGAGTTGTCATGGTAAGAGGGGTCTTTTAAATGGAAAATAAGTTTTAAAAACAGTCCCACTTTGTGGAATAGAAATTATGTTTAATCCCTGAAGAGCACAGGGGGTTCTGGTGGGACACCTTCCACTTGACCAGGTTGCTCCACCCTGGTTTTGAGCACTTCCAGGGATGGGGCAGCCACAGTTTCCCTGGACAGTTTCTCTATCCTGTGCCAGGGCTTTATCGCCCTCAGAGAGAAGAATTTCTTCCTACAATTCCCTCTAAGCCTGCCCTTAGAAGCCATTCCCCCTGTCCTGTCCCTCCAGGCCCTTGTAAAAATTCGCTTTTATTCCTCCTGGAGCAATGAGGGGGCCTGCTGCAGCCTCAGCCACTGCAGCTGCTGGGAGATTCTCCTGCTGCAAAATGGTTTGGGATGAGGAAAGTTCAAAAGAAAAGGTTTGAATGTTATTAACCCTCCCAAATAAAAGGAGGAACACTGGCAGCTGTGCCATAGAGCAGGTGAGAGATTTTCTGAGGGAGGTCTGATGCAAGGAGGTGCCTTTAGGGTTAGAGGGAAAGAGGGGGAGAAAGGCACTTCCAGAAGAATGAAGCAGAACAACTCCAACATCCTCCAGTCTGACCTCTTCAAGCCTTCCATGCCTTTTATTATCTTTCAATCATATTTCAAGTTATTAATACACTCTAAGAGAAATCCCCATGGGGAGAAGACTTAAATATGCTGAGTAGGTACTTGGATAAACCATCTGAAAGTGTTTGTTGGTATTTTAAGAACCCTGGGAAGATACAGGGGGAAGAAGCGGGGGAGGAGGAGGAAGAGGGCAGCTTTCATCCAAAACAAAACTTGAGGGGTTGTTATCTGTCTAAATACCATCACAGAGATGGTTTCCAATGTTACAAGTTGGTTTTGGATGTGTTTTTCAGACTCTGCATGCAACAGTGCTCCTGGATCTGGTCCCAGCTCTCCGAACAACAGCTCCAACAACATCAGCACCGAGAATGGAATTGCAGGATCAGTCACGAGCATCCAGGCAGAGGTACAGAGCCTCCTCCCTCTGGTTTGTAACACCCATCAGCTCTGGGAGGGTTTGAGGACTAAACCACACAAAAGGAAAAGCCTGACTTGTGACTTGGAGCAGACTTTGGGAATTACCTCTCAGCCTGGAGGATGCCTTATCTGTTTATTAAATCTGGTTTGGACCAGCTCACAGGCAGCTTGTGGTAGCTTGCAGTGGTTTTGCAGTGAGGAGAAAGTAAAAATAAAGGGATTCAGCAAGGTCAAAGGCAAGTATTTTAGTGTTTGGGGACTTTATTCCTGTATATAGGGTGGACTTATTGTGTGCAGTAGGCTGGTCTAAATATGACCAAACCATAATTGGATTAAAGGGAATGGATTGAAACTTTTCTTCCACAGCTGGGGATCTGAAAGCTTGGTGCCATGTGCTGGTTTATAATCCCATAAATTTTCACCATCACTTGAGGCATTGCTGGATGCCCAGGGCAGGGTGAGGTGGGGTTGGATTGAGCACAGCAGCTCCTGTGTTCAGGGATCTGGAAGCCAAGCTTTTCCAAGGGGTCTGGGCCATGTCAGCTGGCTCCCACTATAAACTGTGCCTCTAGAAAACCGGTGTGGTTGTCTGATGTTACTGGTGCATTTCTTTTCATCCAGCTTCCCATTAGCTGTTCTCCCCATGAATAGAGTCTGTCTTAACACCAGGGCTCCAAAAACAGGCTGAGGCTTGTTCTCCACAAATATTCCTTTAGAATTGAAAAGGCCTTCTGATGGTGGAAATGTCAGTCCTTATTGCTTTCTAGTTTTGTACAGATTTGCACTTTATTTTTTTCTAATGTAGTGTAACAGTATTTAATATGGGGAACATGCCTCCTTCTCCACCCTCTGCCCTGCCAAATGATGCAGCAGACATTCCAGCCGCTCTAGTCCATAGTAAACCTTACAGATTTAGGTAATTAGTGTGAAGATTAAGGTGGTGGGAGGTGGGGGCTTCACTTGTCCCAGGAGGATGAGCACTGAGTTTTGGTTTTGCTGATTCAGGAGCTGTCAGTCTTCTCTGTCCTTAGCAAACTGCAAATTCCCAGTTGCTGCTGATGGAAAAACTAGTGGGTTTGACAATTTTTTTGTGGCATAAACAGAGCAGGCAAAGTCCATGCAGGGCATTGGAATCAGGTGGTCTTTAAGGTCCCTTCCAGCCCAAACCATTCCATGAAGTCAGAGTGAGCTCCTGCAGGTAAATGAAGTTGGAGCATCCTCCTCATCCTTTTGATTTTTCAGGTTGATAATTAGAGCTGATCATCAGGGACTAGGCCACCAACACCAAACAAATGGACACTGACCACAAGAAAAGGTCTTTCCATCAACTGCTTGTAGTGCAGTTGTAATTTTGTGACTTAGGCTGAGGCACGAGCCTTTCCCTTTCCCAAAGGAAAATAACTCTGCTTTTTATTTCAGCATTCATGTCATGTGATCCCAGCTGATCCATTGGCCTGTATTTTGGAAAAAAACAAAACCTGGGGCTTGGTGTCTTTAAAATTCTCTTCTTCAGTATGAGTTGTATGACCTGGGAGCTCAGGTGTTGGAGATTCCTTTAATACCAAAATGGACCAGGATTTCCCATGTTCCCACCATTAAATGTTGGGCAATATTTGGGTGTTTCTGAGAAGATAATGCTGTGTTGCATTCTTAGCTTCATGTTTCATTTTAAATGAAAAGTATATCTCAGTGCTCCTAAGTTTGCTGCATCAGCCCTTGAACCAGGTGTGTTGGAAGATGGTGCCCAAGTTCATTATTTGAGTGCCTTCAGTGGGGAAAGACTGCAGCCCTGCCTCTTTTGGAGCAGACACTTTCTGTTTTGAAATACTGTTTTTAAAGGTTTTTCCCTCTCTGAAAGGCACACAACATTCATTGCCGTTGCAGTTGGTACAAGGCTGTAAAAACTCCTGGAGTACGGCTGCAGACCGTGCATTGGGAAATGGCTGTGTGCAATTCAGCCCAGAGATGGGAGCTGTGTGTTTAAAGTGGTGATGATAATGCTGCCAAATCCCATATGCTCAGAGCATCAAGCTGCTGTGTTCTTCTCTCCTCTGTTTTCTATATCAAACCCCCAGGAGAGGCTTTGAGGCACAACTCCAGAGTATTGATTGTTCAAAGGGAAAATTAGTGTAGTTTTGTTTCATTCATGATATCAGTAAAATATTTCATTCCTTTGCTGACAATAGGTATCTTATTTTCAATGGCACACTGACATTATGTAATTTAAATTAAAGCAAAATTGCCAGGAGTGCTCAAAAATCACTTGGAAGGAGAAGTGTGTGGGTACAAATAATCACATGGAGAGTCACTTTAGAGAGAAAAATGAAGTTTTTTTTACAATGAATCTGTTAAAAATAAGGCACAGGCTGCCCAGAGAAGCTGTGATTGCCTCATCCCTGGAAGTGTCCATGGTCGGCTGGATTTTGGGTTTGGAGCACCCTGAGATAGTGGAAGGTGTGCCTGCTCGTGGCAGGGGTGGAACAACCAGCCCTTGAACAATTCCAGGGATGGGACAGCCACGACTTAGGTGCAGATTGCCCTATAATAAAATGTTGAGTTAAACAAAATCCCCCTTTTTCACAGCAGCACCTGAATTTAACAGGGTTCTGTAGGAACCTTCTTGAAGTCTAAATTCTATTTATGTTGGAAAATCACCCGCAGAGACCTCAGGGTGATCAGAACACTGGTTTCCTAACAGGAAAATCAGGCACTTTATTGTAATTTTTATAATGGGTTTTCTAGTGAGTATTTCAAATCAGTCTTGTTTAGAAATTAAAGGTATTTTTGCTAAAGTGTTCTTGCTTCAAATGCCTGTAAGATAACTGAGCAAATCTTGCATTTCACCCTGAAAATCAGGAAATAGCTCCATAAATGCAACCTTGAGGCTTTTGGATGAGATTTTGAAGTCTGATTTATGCTAACACATGCTAGTAAATAACATAAATTGTCTGTTATTTGCTAAAGAGAAAAACAATTGTAAAGCTTTTCTTTCTTTTTTTTTTTTAAGATAATTGGTTTTACCTTTAAAAAGGCAAATGCTTGAGAAGGGCAAGTACCAAGGGAATAGCATGTAGCTGTTTCAGGGGAGGTTTATGTTGGAGATCAGGAAAAGGTTCTTCCCCTAGAGGGTGCTGGGCCCTGCCCAGGCTCCCCAGGGAAAGGGCACAGCCCCAGGCTGCCAGAGCCCAAGGAACATTTGGACAATGCTCCCAGGGGTGCACAGGGTGGGATTGTTGGGCTGTCTGTGCAGTTCTGGAGACTCTGTGTCCCCTCCTGCTGCCTTGTCCTGGTGAGTGCTGTGTCCTGGGGATGGGCTCTCACCAGGGCCGTGTTCTCCCTCTCCTTTCCAGACCAGCCTGGCTCACAGGCTCGTGAACCGCGAGGGCTCCGTGACACAGCTCCCACTCTACACCTCGCCCTCCCTGCCCAACATCACGCTAGGACTGCCTGCCACCGGCCCTTCCAGCGTGAGTGGGGCTGGGATCAGCCTCTGGGATGGAGGGATCAGCCTCTGGGATGGAGGGATCAGCCTCTGGGATGGCAGGGATTAGCCTCTGGGATGGCAGGGATCAGCCTCTGGGATGACAGTGGGGCTGGGATCAGCCTCTGGGATGGCAGGGATCAGCCTCTGGGATGGCAGGGATCAGCCTCTGGGATGGAGGGATCAGCCTCTGGGATGGCAGGGATCAGCCTCTGGGATGGCAGTGGGGCTGGGATCAGCCTCTGGGATGGTAGCAGGGCTGGGATCAGCCTCTGCAATGTCATCAGGGCTGGGATCAGCCCCTGGGCTGTCACTGAGGCTGGGATCAGCCTCTGGACTGTCACTGGGGCTGGGATCAGCCTCTGGGATGTCTCCTAACCCCCTGTGCCGCGTGCATTTGCAGGCGGGACAAGCGCAGCAGGACGCGGAGAGGCTCGCAATCCCAGCCTTACAGCAGAGGATCTCCTTATTCCCTGGCACTCACCTCACTCCCTACCTGAGCACTACAACGTTGGAGAGGGATGGGGGAACTGCACACAACCCTCTCCTGCAGCACATGGTCCTACTGGAACAGCCAACTGCACAAACGCCCCTGGTCACAGGTGAGCACTCCAGGGGCAGCACTCGAGCACCTGGAAAAGAGAGCAAACCAGCAGGGGTCTGTTGGGTTGTTTTCAAGGCAGCCTCTAGGTCCTGCATCACCTATGCATCCTGCAGGTAGAACATAAAACCTTGGTTTGTTGATTCATTGATTGGTGGTGATTTTTCCACAATCGGATCTCCCACCTCGTTTTGATGAGATGAAAATAAATAGTGTTATTCCATCAGGACAGCAAGGGTTGGTTGATAAAAGTTGAGAACTCTATTTGACCAGTTCAGATCAAAGTGAGGGCAAAAACATTGCATCTTAACGACTCCTGTTTTCCATGGATGGTTTCTATTCCATGAAAGTATGAAAGGCACGCACTTAGAAAATCACAGGTTAAAACACTTCCTTTCCATCATTAATATAAATAGCAAAACCATGGCAAAAGCAGCTGCCTCCCAGCAGATTGTATATGTTTGTGTGCGTTCCCTTTCCAGGATGGTAATTGCTGTGAGTCACTCGCGGTGCTGGGTTTCAGAATGAGCTACCTGTGGGAAGGCTTGTGGCTATAAATAAGCTGGATTTAAAGCATTAATTCCCACTGGGATGCATTCCTGATTTCCTGTGTGTGGTGCTGGGACAAAGGATGTTCTGCCTCAGTTGCTGACATGTTGGTTTTCCTTCCCTTCCTTCCATTTCTATTGGAAGTTCTTGGGAGGTGTCAGCCCCTGCAGCTCATGGCTGGTTGTACCTCCAGACTCCAGGAATGTCCACGGGGTTGGGAGCACACAGATATGGGGAGGCTGATGCAGAGAAGTGTGCTGTTTGCTTCCTTCAGTTTCCTGCATACTGTGTTTGCTTCCAAGCAAATTCCTTCTACTCCACCTGCTCCGTGCGGGGCTTTCCGAGCAAGTACAACATGTTACAGCCCAGCACTCAGGAGAAGGAGTCAGCACAGAGAAACAAGGAGAAATACACGTTCCAGAGGCAGCAGCTGAGAGGCAGCGAGCTCACACGTGGTCCCCAAAGCCTTGAGTGCACCGGCTGCCAAGCTGCAGCTAATATTTGGAAACTCCTTGGAAATAAAGTGGAGTTTATTAGGATTCTGCTGGAGAGCCTTGAGCTCTGGAGGTGTTCCCCTGACAGCTGCAGAATTAGCCATGATGGCTCTCTCTGGGCTGGAAGGTAGACATGGCCAGTTTGGGAAGCTAGACTAGAATTCCTGTGCCATTCCTCTTGGGAATGGTTACTCTGGGTAGTATTCTCCATGTTGTGGTACATGTCCTGATGTTCCTTATCCCTGATGGAACATACGCAGGGCTTGCAGCAGCCTGGGATAGTGGAAGGTGTCCCTGCCCATGGCAGGGGGTGGAATGACATGAGTTTTAAGTTCCCCCCCAAGCCAAATCGTTCCAGGATTCTGTGAACATGGTGTCTGCTGGAAAGCTTTCCCAGGAGCACCTTGGCCATTGCCTTGGAGGAAGGTAGTCTTCCAAAATATCCTCTGCAAGCTCTGCTGTCTGATTTGAACTTTTGGGAGGAGCAGCTGTGCTCTCAGGGAAAAGGAACACATCTTTCCCAATTATCCGTGTATTCATACGCAGACCTGTGTGTGTGCACACGCTGACATCTGCAGAAACATGCATTTATAAAATCAAATACCCTTTCACATGATCCCTTTCAGAAAAAGCAGAGAGTGGAAGAAACTCTGTAAGCCTGCTGAGAAAAGAGGCTTTCCCATGAGTCAGCTCCTTCCACGTAGGGCAGTTCTGTGAATTGGTGGGAAAGGAGGTCACATCCTGGGACACAAATGCCAAGGTGTTTCTAATCATCAGCATCCAGGTGGCTGCAGACATCTGGGCAGCTTCTCCCTCTCCTAAACCAAAGCCTGAGGAGAGCAGAGGGCTTCTTGCCCAAAAGTGACTGCAGCCCTAGCCGTGCTAGGGAGGCAGCTGGTTCCTGCAGCTTGAATTGAACCTGGGATCAGTCCCTAAACCAAGGTGAGCTGTGAGGTTTAAACTCCAGACCACTGTGGTCTCATGTAGCAACAGAAAGGTCAGTAAGGTGTTGCTGGTTTCAAGAAATCAGATGTTTCCAGAAGGTCTCTGAGTCAGCAGGCAGACACAGAGCTCAAACCAAGCAAAGCATTGCTCTGTGCAGTGGTGGTTAATTTGTCTGCTCTCTCTCAAGGCAGCTCCAGCTGTAGATGGCGAGGTGGCTGGGTTTGGCATGGTATCACTGTCACCGTCAGCATTACTCAACAGCCATTTTCTCCCTTCCTTTCTTCTTCCTTTTGTTTCTCCTCTGCTGTTTTTTCCTCCATATTATCTTCAGACTGGTATCTTTCAGGACTGCCCCTGCACGCACAGCCCCTGGTGGGTGGAGACAGGGTCTCCCCTTCGATCCACAAGCTGCGGCAGCACCGCCCGCTCGGGCGCACCCAATCTGCTCCCCTGCCCCAGAACGCCCAGGCCCTGCAGCAGCTGGTGATCCAGCAGCAGCACCAGCAGTTCCTGGAGAAACACAAACAGCAGTTCCAGCAGCAGCAGCTGCACATCAACAAGGTAGGCACAGAGCTTTCAATGCCTTTTTTCCTCCACAGCAGCCTCAAGTGGGGCCTCATGATTTCGGGGTCTCTAGTGTAGCTGTATTTGTGGGCTCTACCTCCAGCATCCCTGGGCCTCCCATCCTTGGAGCTCTCTCAGGCATGACACCTGGATGTAGTTGTGAGGGGAGTTACCTGAAACCCTGAAACATTTGCTGAAAGGCTGAGAGACTTAGGGGTCCTCACCTGGAGAAGAGAAGGCTCCAGGGAGAGCTCAGAGCCCCTTCCAGTGCCTAAAGGGGCTCAGGAGAGCTGGAGAGGGACTTGGGGACAAGGTGTGGAGAGACAAGACACAGGGAATGGCTTCCCACTGCAGAGGGCAGGGATGGATGGGATATTGGAAGGAATTGTTCCCTGTGAGGATGGGGAGGCCAGGCTGGGTGGGCCTTGGAGCAGCCTGGGCTAGTGACTGAGCTGATATTCCACCATCAGCCTGTGCTTCTGTTTCCCACCTTTTTTGCATGTTTAATGTTTGACAGGGAAGCACCAGAGGAGGTTTAGGTTGGAAAAGATCAGAAAAAATTTCTGCATTGAAACGGTGGTCAGGCACTGGCATAGGCTGCCCAGGCAGTGGGGGAGTCACCATCCCTGGAAGTGTTCAGACAACCTGTGGATGTGGCACTTGGGGACAGGGTTTGCGGTGGGTTTGGCAGTGCTGGGGGAAGAGTTGGACTCAATGGTCTGAGAGAGCTTTTCCAACTTTAAGGATTCTGTGATTTGTAATATCAGAAGAAGCTTTGCTCCAAGCCCCATCCAGCCATGCAAGTGAGTTGTTCCCTCTCCTCCAGGCACAAAAGCTCCACAGCCTCCTGGTCCTTCCAGCTGTAGGACAGGCTGCCTCAGACAATTGATTTTCCCCTGCTGTCACATCACTTCAGGGGCAAAAAAAAAACAGATCAAGAGATTTCTGTAGGCTTTCGCTGCTGCAGAAGGCTCTGCCAGGTACTCTGGGGCCCAAGTTGGCCTCTTCCTATCATCCCTTATCATCTCTTGTTTCTCCTTAGTCTATAAAAGTTAAAAATCAAAACCCAAAGGGAATGTGGGAAGAGCAACGTCGAGTCAAATGAGTTCAGCCTTTATCATCCTTTTTTTTTCCCTGTTTTTTACTCATTTTCGTCAAAGCTGTGTCTCCAGCTGTCCAAGAGTTGTTCTGTTTCTTCCTTGAGTTTGTCCTTCACCTCCAGAGGGAGGAAAGGGTGCATTCTTCTGGCTTCTGCACATCCTGGCATGGTCAGGGCTGAGCTGACATCCTCCTTTGCTTCCTGGCTTCTCTCTTCCTCTGCCTTTCTGCCTGTCCCTCTGATGGGGACTGGGGTCCCATCCACCCAAACCATTCTGGGATTCCATGGTTTTTCTGCTGAAGACTCCTCACTGATCTCTGATTTGTACATAGATGTCTCTAACCTGTTGGTAGGACCTTCAAGGTCTTCGGTATCCCAGGAATTTGCCACTATGGAGAAAGGTGTCCTGGAGAAGATGGTACGGAGTGATGGGCATGGCAATGCTCAGAGTTTGGATTTGATGGTCTTGGAGGTCTTTTCCATCCTTAATGATTCTGTGGTTCTGTTTATCACCTGTACTGGACAAATCCAACACCAGCTGAAATGTCACTAGCAAAAAATGCAGCTTTTTTTGCCCTCATGAAATGTTCCACCGAAAAATTATGAACTCTTTGGTTTCTCCTGTATTTATGACCTGACTTTGCTATGTGGTTTTTTTGCTGTGGTGTTTTTTTGGATCTTTTTTTTTTTTTTTTTTCTTTCCCAGGTTTTGGTTTGTTGTTGTTGTTTTTTGTTGGGGTTTTTTTTTTTTTTTTGTTTTTGTTTGGGTTGGTTTTGGGGGGGGGTTTTTTTTTTGGTTTTTTTTTTTTTTTTGTTGTTTTAATTTAATTTCTATTCTTTGTATTTCAAAGCTGTGAAGGAGAAATCTTGCCAGCTGCATGGAGCCTTTTAAAAATGAAAAATGCTTGTGACTAGAGAGCTGTAATTTATTCCGAGTGAAGTTGTTGTCTGCCCGAGGCTCGAGAGGCAGTGCCTTTACCAGAGGTTTATGGTGGCAGCTTGTGACAGCCAGAGGCCACTGGATATGAAAACAGAGGAGTAACCTCGTGGCAGAGGAAGCCAGAGAGCTAATTAAGGGATGGAGAGGTTATTTATGGTGCTCTGTGCTTACTATTTCAGATATATTTACAAGCATTCTCAGTGCTACCGTTACAGCCAGCCCCTCGCACTTTTATTCCCTCAGATTTTAAACTGCATGAGCACGTGCTCGTAAAACTGCACAAATGGAAGATTTTTAGGGAGTTTGGATGGGCCTGGCATGCAGATACTGAGTGTTTTGTGTGAAATTTGTTGGTAAGAAAGTGTCTTCTCTGCAAAATCTTCCTTTAAGGGTGGGGTTGCAACAACTGGAACTAGTGGCAGACCAGGAGATTCCCTTTGCAGATAGAATGTCTGAAATGTCCTTGCCATCCACCACTTGGTCTTCTCAGCCTTCACCGTGGTTGTCATTTAATTCTTACATTTTTAAGGAGTAGGAATAATTTAAAACTTCCAGGGAATTACACTGCCTCTCATTCCCATTAGGTATGACAATGGCACTCTAAGTTATTTTTCCCAGCAATTACCTTGTGCAGTTCAGAAGTTCAAAAGGCATTAAGTTCAAAAGCTTGAGACCTTCGATCCAAGCAGGGAAAAAAAAACAAAACCAAGCAGCAGATGGTTTATGATAATTTAATTATCTTTAAAACAGATAATATTCATCAAGCCTAAGAGGGCTTAAAGAAAATTAGTAGAAGAACTTTCAGCTTAATGTGGTTTGGTTATTCAGTGTGTGTTGTAAGGAATTAAACTTTGGGGGGGAGGGGGATGGAACCTCACAAAAATCCTTGATGGGTTTTGATCCCTGAATCTTTGCAGGGACCTCCTGAGGTCACTGAGGACAATGTCCCTCCTCTAACAGGTTGCCCAAGGATCTCCAAGGATGGAGATTCCAGAACCTCTCTGAAGAACCAGTTCAAGTGTTTGACCACCCTCACAGGAAGTAAAAAAAAGTTTTATTGTGTTCAGAAGGAATTTTATGGGTTTTAATTTGTGCCCATGGCCTCCTATCCCATCACCTGTGCGTGCAACCCATGAGAGTCCTGTGGTCTTAGGGATATCCAGGTGTTTTAAGTGGTAGTTCCTTCACCAAGGGAAGTTTTCCTTATTTGAGACTTTTCCTCTGGTATCAGAATCCTGGGATTCTTGAAGGATTGTCTTAAATAAGGCATTAATTCTATCTTGTGTGCCACCAGGTGCCTTCCCTCGTTCAGCAGTGGCACCAGGATCTCCTTAGCCTTCTTCTTTTCTTTCTTCATGTCCCTTGCCAGATTCAACTCCATTCCTGCCCCTCTGCCTTGCTTAGGTTATATGGCAGAGCCTTCCTTCCTGCTTTTGGGAGAAAAAAGGCTTAATTCCAGATTGGAGCCGCTGTTCTTCAAAGAGCAAGTTACTGACAAATAGTCCCTCCTCCTGCATGTGTTCGATAACCATGTTTTGATTTAGCTTTATTAGATTTAAAATCAATATTGCTTACCATACCAATGACCTAATCCTCATTAAACTTTGCCCTGACAACTTTCAAAGTGCAGCAGTTTCTTTATAAGCCTGTGAAACAGGGGCAGCCTGAGGTCTTGGAAAGGGAGGAAATGGATTGGTTTTCCTACGCTGGAGTTAAAAACAGGTCACATTTGGGGGTTTTTTTTATATCCCAAATAAGAATCATAAACAGTCTGAGACAGAGAACTGTGAATTTTATCTTGCCAAAGAACTTAAAAAAAGCCTGAGTGAATTACAGTGAAAACTAAATTCTTCCTTCAGGTTTAGGAGCTCCTCTCCGAGACATTTACTGTGTCTGGTTAGGAAGGTCAGGTTAGAACAATGCCACTCTTGAGGTTTGCTCTCAGCTGCACGTCCTGAGTTTCCTCTTAACCACCTCCATAAGAGTACAGATTTTCAAGTAATCATTATTTCAGCCTCACAGAAAAAAATCAGGGAGTGAATCGAGGTGATGTTGAGCAAACAGGCAGAAAAAACCCTGTTAGAGGGTTTGTGTCCTCCCTATTCTTTCAGAATTGAATTGCCAAACATCTCGATGGTTGCTCTGCGGGTTTGTGAATGGAGTAGCATCTGGAGGTGTGCAGGAACAAGAGGCTCTTATTCCTTCAGAGAGAGGATGAAGTGGAAAATAAGGGGGATGTCATTACTGGGGACACGGGATTTCAGAGCCCTCGACACCAAAGTTACCCTGACCTTTCCCTGCTTTGTTTTGGATTGTGAGACAGAACAACTCAGAACTGCTCCTTCCCATGAGCCTGGAGAGCAGAGCTCTGAGCGTTCCCCGTGGTGGGAGGCAGCTCTCTGATGAGTTTGGGGCTCTTTCAGATCATCTCCAAGCCCACTGAGCCGGCGCGGCAGCACGAGAGCCACCCCGAGGAGACGGAGGAGGAGCTGCGGGAGCACCAGGCGCTGCTGGAGGAGCCCTACGGCGAGCGGGCCACGGGCCAGAAGGAGCCCGCGGGGCTGGCCAGCGTGGTGCAGGTCAAGCAGGAGCCCATCGAGAGCGACGAGGAGGAGGCAGAGGCGCAGCAGGAGCTGGAGCCTGGGCAGAGGCAGGCGGAGCAGGAGCTGCTCTTCCGCCAGGTCTGGCGCTTGGGTTGTTGTAAGACGTGGATTTGGGCTTGGAAGTCGCCTTGTGCTACTCTGAGGGGAAATGGCTCCCGAGGGTTGGCTGGTTACAGGAACCCAATTTAAACTCAGGTGATTCCTTCCCTGGAGTCACCTGCCAGCTGGCAAACCCCGGGGAGGAGAGTGTGGATCACCTGCACAAAACAGTCACTGCATTTATTGAGCCACTGAAACACTTCCATGGGTGTTTCTTTAGGAAGATAAAGTCTATCCTAACATTTCTGAGCACTAGACACCAGTAGGAGACTGTATTTTGGTTTAATGATTTAAAACTGATTTCTCCAGAGAAAGACTGCACATAAGGGAGCAGGGGACAAGTGGAGGGTGTTCCTGCCTCAGTGAGCCTCCAGCTAGGCTCACTTTTGAGGCAAAACACCTGAGGCTTGTGGATTGCAGGTGATAAATCCAATAACAAGGAAGCACAGTGTAATAGAGCTGGTCCATGTCCTTCAGGAATGTCATTGAGATGTTGCTCAGGAGCTACATTTGCCCAGGAAAGCTGTGGCCACCTCATCCCTGGAAGTGTTCAAGGCCAGGTTGAATGGGGCTTGGAGCAACCTGGGATAAGGGGAAGGTGTCCCTGCCCATGGCAGAGATGAGCTTTAAGGCCCAAGCCATCCTGGGATTTTCTAATTCTGTGTTGCTGATGATGGACCATTGTCAGTGATACCATTCCTCTGAAGGTGGAACCTCTCCGCCTTAATCCTGAATCCATGGTCACACCTCAGGAGTCTTTAAAATAGTATCTCCTTTGCAACTGTTTTGCCTCAGAGCAGGAGGGAATTTATAGAGGGAATGGGATGGAACAGCCATCCCTGCTGCCCAGGAGCCTGTCCAGCTGATGGTGTGGCTGCACAGAGAACCAGCTCAGCTAAGAGCTCCCTCTCCAGCCTGGGATCCAGTTGAGTGGGACTCGTTCCATGGCCTGGGCTGTTTCACTCTTTATTGTCCCAGAGCAGTGGGGTGGGAGCACAGGAGGAGGAAGATGAGGGAGCTGTGGGGAAGATGGAGCTGCCCCTGGCAGTGACTCTGTCAGTGTGCACCAGGCTCAGGCTGGGGCTCCATGTGTTGTGCCTGTCTGACTTGGTGCTAGAAATGTCACATCTTCCTTTGCTGCACGCAGGGGAAAGGAGTCCAAGCCTGAGAGCCTTCAAAAACCCTTTTGGGAAGGCCCTTTCAGCAACTGCCTGCTTCTCTTGCCCACAGCAAGCCCTGCTCCTGGAGCAGCAGCGGATTCACCAGCTGAGGAACTACCAGGCGTCGCTGGAGGCAGCTGGCATGCCCGTGTCCTTCGGGGGACACCGGCCCCTGTCCCGGGCACAGTCCTCCCCTGCCTCAGCCACTTTCCCCATGTCCGTGCAGGAGCCACCCACTAAGCCAAGGTTCACAACAGGTGAGCTTTTTGGGGGCTCTGGGCTGTGGGGGGATCTGGTGACTGGTTTGTTTTACACAGAGCTGTTCTGTGAGGGCACAGAAAAGAGGGAATGGCTTTAGGCTGGGAGTAGTGTTAGATGGGATATTGGAAGGAAATCCTTCCTTGTGAGGGTGGTAAGGTTGCCCAGAACAGCTGTGCCAGCCCCATCCCTGGGAGTGTCCAAGGCCAGGTTGGACAGGACTTGGAGCAGCCTGGGATAGTGGAAGGTGTCCCTGCTCTACCCCTGAGGTGAGCTTTAAGGTCTCTTCCAACCCAAACCATTCCATGGTGATGATTCTGCGACTTTCTTCCCTGTCCCTGCAAATCCGTAAGCGTTAGCTCTGCATCTCATCCCCATTTGGGTACTCCATAACATCCTGCCTTCCTCGGGGAGCACACTGAGTCATCCCTGTTGTCCTGCTCATCCCTTCTGCTGAGCAAAAACACCCTGCACACACACAGCAGCAGCAGCAGCAGCACAGCCCTGGGGCTCTGTGTCCAGGCACACAGAGCGAGTCCCAGGCTGTGACAGAGCTGATTTAGAGGCAAAGCAGGGAAAGCCAGTGCTCCTGAAAGACAGAGTGCCTAATGCAATGCTGGCTCTGTTTCCTCCACCTTCTCCAGTCCTCCATAGCCTCATGCCATCAGTTATCCACTGGGCTCCCTGCCAGCCTCCCCTCCTCCTGTTGCACAGGAGGCTGTGCCTGCAGGTTGGGAAAAACGAAGTGAGCTGGTGATTTCAGCTTGTCTTGAGGAGACAAAGAGACCAAAGGGTGTTTGTGGAGGAAAATGATGAGTGCAATCCTGTGTCTGTCTGGTGGAAAGCACAAGGGCAAAATAGGTGTTGATCCCCATCCCTTGGAAGTGTTCACAGCCAGGATGGAGCAGCCTGGGACAGTGAAAGATGTCCCTGCCCATGCTGGGGGTGGAACAAGATGGGCTTCAAGGTCCCTCCCAGTCCAAACCACTCTGGGATTCTGTGATCTCCCCACCAAGATTTAAAGCAAAAAAACTTAATTGTTCTTCCTGTATCCTGACAGCCAACTCTTCTACTCCAAAATCCTTTCTGCTTCTTCAGTGCCCTTAGCAACAGCTGAAAGTTGATTTTCCCTGCGACTCCTCAAGCCCTGTGTTGGGTGATAAGGGCTGATTTTGAAGTCCGCCTTCTTCCGCAAATGTCAGGCTCTTACTTTGTGAATGAGCAATTTGCAACATGATGTGTTCCCTGGGAAAAGGAAAAAGGGAGGTGGGGGAGGGGAATCCACGACGCCCAAATAAGAGCGACTCATGATGTTACTTCCCTTTCATTTCTGCTTTTATTCCATTTTTAACCTACACTTCTTGCATCACGCAGCTCAGTGCTGTGAATTGGGTTTATTTTCAGGCCCTGGTGGTGTAGTAATAGTGGCATGTTCAGTGTTCCTCAGCTCCTGGCTGCAGGCAGGGTGGGAAGTATGTGCTGTCAGTTCTGGAAAAACCCAGGGAATAGCTCAGGTTTTGTAAATCTGCCCTTTAAAGTCCCTGTTTGTTCTTAATGTTTAACTCAGAATTTCAGCACAACTGCATTTCAAATGCAGTTGGTTCTGGCCAGATTAAAAGATTTTGGCTTTTGCCAAGGGTGCAAGGAAAAGTCCCCTGGCTCAGGGTCAAAGCAGATGAAACTTGAGCTTCTAATACACTTAACCCCAAACCTTGGGGCTTTAAAAACAAGGAAGCCTGGCCCTGCTTGAAGGGATTATTCATTCCTTCTCTTTCTTCCCTCCTCCTCCTCTGCTGGTATTGAAGCTGCCCAATCAATCACATGCAAGACTCTGAACATACAAATAAATAGCATTTCCTAGCAGAGGATCTATGTTTGACTCAGATCTGCCTCTGAATTTCATTCAAAATTGCAGGCAGCAGTAAGAATGCAGATTTGAGAGCTGTGCTGCTTGGAAAAGATGCTGTTCCAGTATCAGGATTTATTTTCCTCGGAGGCAGGGTTTGGAAAACTAAAACAGTGGCTTAAAATAAGAGGTGGAATATCACACTGCTTTTATCCAGCACTGCACAGAGTGATGAGGTGCAGAATGCTTCAGGTAGTTCACCTGTAAAATACCATTTTCACAACATTTTTCCACATTAAGATTCCAAAGGTTTGACTTTTCTTTTTCCTTCAATCTCTGCATTTATGCTGGGTGAATGGAGAAGGAAAAAAACAATAAAATCAGACATTTGCTGGCACTAATTAAGGTGCAAAGCATAAAGGTAAGGCCTCTGTACTAGTCCTAAAACTAGTCCTAGGTCTGGTTTAATTAACCTGCACTGTCTGCATAGGAGAAGCAAGGGAAAAAAGCCCACTGCCATGGGCATGGAAGCAGGAGAAAGGGGAGGAAAGGCATTTCAGCTGCTGAGCATGTGTGAGTTAAATTGCCTCATGTTTTGTTGGAGTTGTCCACGGTGGCGTGTCGGAGATTGTGTTTCTGGAGGTGGATACTAAAGCTTAATCACCAGGATTGAGCTGTTCTGTGGAAGGCAGGAAATTAAAGTCTTGGGTGTTTTTCAAAAGCAAGTAGTGCTGAAGTGCATCAGGCTTCTTTTTCCTGAGGAAAATCCATCTGGCTGGTAAGTGCTTTGCATACTGATCCTAAGGCAGAGGAATGAGGATTGGAATTGGTGTGATGGTTTGGTGAGAGGGCTGCAAGAAGCAAACTTCATTGAATGGCCCTAATTAAGCCAACTGTGATCACTCTGGATGTGGACGTGGCCCTTAAGAGAGCAGTCATTGTCCAACAGAGAAAGGAATTGTTCCTCCTTTTCATGTTTGGTATATTATACAGAAATAATACAGAGAGCTGATGCTCTCCCTGGACTTAACCCCAAGGAGTTAGCTCCAGACAGCTGGAAGTTCTGGGGTTGATGTATATTTTATTTTCCTGTCTCTCACAGTGACCAACACCTGAGACTTCAAAGGTCCGGGGCAAAGAGCCACGTCCTGCAGTTCTCCAACATGATGCCCATTACTCCACATCAAAGGGAGAGCTGTGCCCTTCCTGGATCCTTCCAGCAATCAGTTTGATGTCCCAAAGCATGACACTTAATTTTCCTTCCTCCCAGAAAGCAGGTCCTTGAACTTGCCCTCTCTAGCTCCAGCAGCCCCTGCAACTTTAATGAATACTCGTGCCTGCCCTGTTCTATGCACTTGAATAAGGATCCTCGGGTTAGGCCATTAATTTGCATAGCTCCAATTATCCAGTCTCTGATCTCCTGTAAAAATGGGTCCACACATTATTCTGATGTTCTGCATTAAAGGGTTTTTCCTTTCTGATGAAGGCATTTATTCTCTCCTGTGCAGAGCAATATAATTATCTGAACCTCAGATCATATGTTCGTTCTGCCAAGAAAAGCCAGTTGGTTTTGCTTTAGTGCTGACCTTTAAAAATTATTGTTCTTATGTCTGAAAAGAGTCTTGCTTCCAGCACCACTTCAATTAACTTGTAAGAGCCAGTGTAGTTTTGTATTTTGAGCTTAAATTGCCGAGCTTTCCTTCGTGTGAGTGTGTGTGTGTGTCTGCAGCTGAGTGTTCCCAGCCACAGGAAGGAATTGGGAACAGCTCCTTTTTCAACTGGGCTGGTTTCTAGGAAAGAGAAATGATGAGTGATTGACACTGCTGTTATCAGTGAACCCCTGGGAAAGGAGAAACCATTGATGAAGCAAGGTCTGTGAACACCAGGTGGGATAGGTTCCTTGAGCAGTTTGGGTTGGAAGGGACCTTGAAGATGATCCATTTCCATGGGCAGGGACACCTCACAGTATCCCTGGCTGCTCCAAGCCCTGTCCATCCTGACCTTGGACACTTCCAGGGATGGGACAGCCAGGGCCTCACCACCCTTACAGGGAAGAATTTCTTCCATGAATGCAGTCTGAATTTCTTTTAGTTTAAGGCCTTGCACTAGTTCAGTTCAACTCAGACTGGGGTGAAAGCTTCTCCTCAGGTGAATTCTGAGCTTGCCTTGCCCCAGCAGCTCCTGGTGGTGTTTGATGCTGTGACTCAAACACGGGAGACCTTGAGAGAGCTTTGCAGCACAACCTCCTCCAGGTGAACTCAGGCTGACCCAAGGGCAGCCAGTTCCCAGGGCTCTGTTCTCTCCCTGGAACCCATGGTGGTTTGGCTTTTAGGGGGTGTTTTTTCCCTCTGCTCTCACCTACAGCACAGCAAGGAGCTGCCAGACACCTCCCCTGAGGCTGCAGACCTGCAAGAGCTGGGGCCAGAGCAGGGAGCCAAGATTCCCGGTGGCGCAGCGTGCCCACACCCAGCCAGGAGGTGGGACTGCAGCTGCAGCCAGGCCTGGCAACGTGCAGGAGCTCAGCCCCAGCTCCAGCTGCTCTCAGGGTTCCCTGTGAGCCCCTTGGAGCTCCCAGGTTGTGCTGTGTGTCCGTGCTGGAGCTGGGAGCACGGATCCAGCTGTGGGTGTGATCGCCTGGGATTTCCCCACAGTGCTCTCAGCTGGGCTGCACATCCTTGGACATTGGGGGCTGGGACTGGTTTCTGCCACTGCTGCCTTCAGAGGCTTTGGATTCTGATCTAGACCTTTGCATTCAGCAGAAATCATGGAAAACCTTGGGGTGAAAAGGACCTGAAAGGTTATCTGGTTTTAAGTCTCTGCCATGGGCAGGGACACCTTACACTAGCCCAGGCTGCTCCAACCTGGCCTTAGACACTTCCAGGGATCCAGGGGCAGCCACAGCTGCTCTGGGCACCCTGTGCCAGGGCCTGCCCACCCTGCCAGGGAACAATTCCTAATTCCCAATATCCCATCCATCCCTGCCCTCTGGCAGTGGGAAGCCATTCCCTGTGTCCTGTCCCCCCTTCTCCTCTCCAGGTGAGCACGCCCAGTCCTCCCAGCAGAGGGGCTTCAGCACTTGGACCAACTTTCATACAGATACTTCCTGCAAGAAACCCTTTTCTGGGGGAAAAAACCCCAAACCAACCACTTTTATTCTGTTTTCTGGAGCTTCTGGCTGAAGGAAAGATGGATTTCAACATTTGACTTCATGTCTTTTACTCGAGAGAAATAACTAAATGTCTTCTGTCACTGGGGAGGATCTGCTGTTTTCCTCCAGTTGGAATATTGGCTATGGAATCCCAACTTCCCCTCCAAAATTGTACCCAGGCAACTCTGGAGTGTGGATCAAAGCCTCCTGCGCTGCTGTCACGCTGTAAATCCCTGGAATGCAGGGGGATTTAGCTGCCCGAGCCCCTCGTTGGGCTGAGCACCTCGGTGCTGCCCAGTACCGCTGCCCCGGTGGGCGCTAAGGGCTGCAATTAGCAAACAAGGCACGAGCTGCTTGTGAAGGCAGCCAGGAACGCTCGGTCCTTCTGGGTTTGCTCCCAAGCCCTGGAGGCGTTTTGGCAGCCAGGGAAAAAGCCCCAGATCCCGTTCCTGTGCGCTCACATAGGTGTCACCTCCCCCTGGCATTTCATTTCACATCTTGGTGCCGATTTGCTTCTGATATCCCTTGAGGATTTCCCTCGAGGGAAGGGATGGATGCAGCTTTGGGCTTTCAGTTCTTTGTGGCTCCCACACAGTTTTGACCTAGAACTGTTGACTCCATAGTGCAAAATATCCTTTTGTTCTCCCTCAAACTGGCAATTTGTGGTGGTTTTTTTAACCTGAGAGCAATTCTGTGCCCTGTGCTGCAGGCCTTGTGTACGACACCTTGATGCTGAAGCACCAGTGCACCTGTGGAAACACCAACAGCCACCCTGAGCACGCAGGCAGGATCCAGAGCATCTGGTCCAGGCTCCAGGAGACGGGGCTGCGGGGCAAGTGTGAGGTAAGGGAAACACCACAGCAGGCCACATGGCTGGTTTTATTAGTAGTATTAATATTATTACTACATTACTATTATTATTACTATTATATTATTATGCCAAAGAAAAGAGCAAGATATGATGTAACCCTCTCATTTGTTATCCCTCCCAATTATTCCAGCAAAAGCAACAGCTTTTCTTGTGCTTTAATAACTTCTTTTTGTACTCTTTATTAAGTAATGGTCAAGCTATGCTTGGGGGTAGGAGGAAGGCACTGAGCACCGTTCCATCACAAGAGGTTAAATTAGATTTATTTGATATATTTTAAGAGCAAGCAAATGGAGAGAAAAAGCTTACTTATTAAACAGAAAGAATGAAGGTTAATAATAAAAATTAAGAGTGGTTATTAGTTACAGCTAACAGCAGTGCTGATAAATGGGGGTATAAGTGTGTGTTCATCAATTCTTTGAGCACCTGGGAGGGCTGAATCCCAGAGCATAAATATTCCAGCAATGTCAGGATGGGGCCGGGAATGTTCCCGGGCCATCAGATAAGACATCCACGTGGTGGCAGCATTGCCATTGCCTGCATTTCCCTGTCCTGCCCTGGTTTATCCCTTTCAAACCTGTCTCTGTCTGTGGATACCCATTTAGTCGAATTTTGGGATTATTTGGGACCACATGAACCTCACTAATTGCCTGGCCTCCTCAATGGGTGTTAAGAGATGTTCTCCAATGTATAAATTTGTGACTGTAAGATCCCCGGCAATTGTATTGTCCTTAATTTCCTGTTGATTTCCTTAGAGAAGATTTATTTTCCTTAATTTTCCTGCTTACCTTGGTACTTTTGGTTGCTCTCACGATGGGAGCTGTTGTTGATCTTTCCCTGCTTTCCAGCTGTGTTTCCCTCCTGACCACTGGTGACTTTCAGTCTCATCGGATTCTTCTTTTTTTCCCGAAAATAGTAAATTTCTGCCTTAATTCCCTGCTGGCTTTCTTCAAGCTCTGCCCTGCCGTTTCAAGGATGAACTCCCTTGTCTCTCTGGTCACCTTTCCTTCATCCCCACCACCTCTTGCCAGCACCTGTCTGAAAGTTTCCTTCTTTATCTTGAATGGATCTGAAGATGACTTTCCATGTTGAGCAAATAAATGTTGCGAGTAAGGGATTAACCCAAAACCTGAATTTCTCCAGGACCCATTTTAGTGTTTTGCTGTCTGTCTTGATGGCTTGCTAAGGAAACAGAAAAGAGAGACAAGCACTGAGCAGTGATTTCACCACCCTTTTCCTTCCCCTTGCAGTGCATCCGTGGCAGAAAGGCGACGCTGGAGGAGCTGCAGACGGTTCACTCGGAAGCCCACACGCTGCTCTATGGCACAAACCCCCTGAACAGGCAGAAACTGGACAGCAAGAAGCTTCTAGGTACCATTCCCTGGGGGCACATCCCCCTTCCTGACCCCTGGGTGAGGTGCTGGGGCTCCCTTCATCCTTAGCACTGTGCATCTCCAAGAGGATTGTTCCCAGCTCCGTGAACAGGATCCATCTCCCTCTCTTCAGGCAGATTCCTAAACCCTAGAGAGCTTAAGCCTCCTTTCTTTGATGTCTTCAGAACCTCAAAGGATGTTTTCCTGAGGAGGAAAGATAGTTCAGGCAGTTTGTTTCATCCTTGGGCACTCTGGGTGTTAGGTAGTTATCCATGGCTAGGGAAGGTACTGGAGCACGCTCCCAAGGATTTGGATCTGCAGCCCCCAACCAGCTGCACAGGCATCAACAAATCCCTGCCAGCTTTGGACAATCAGCAAGAGAGATGCAGGGGCCTCTGCATTTGTTTAATGTGGAGTGGGATTGTTTATCCCTTTCACTGGAGACCAAATTGTCCTGAAACAGGACCCTGTCTGTTGTAAAATACAGACAAAAAAAAAAAAATTTAAAAAAATTTTCCCAGCAGAAATTCTAAGGGATGGATGTTCAGATAACTAACTCCCCAAAGCAACCAAACAACATGGATTTTAGCATCTCCGTGGAGTCATCATCACCTCCCTTTACTTCCTGCCTTTTTGCAGCAGCAGGCTGGAGGGACAATTTGGGGATCTGAAAAAAAAAAAAGAAAAAAAAGAAAAAAGAAGACAGTTCTGGAACGTTGAGACGTTGAGAAAGTTTATTTTGGGATTAGCCTGACTTTGGATGATGTAAAAAGAGGTTTAACTCTGTGGCCTTTGTGATGCAGTGGTCACAGCAAAGGAGCTGGAAAGATTTTGCTCAGTGTGTCCATGAGCTCCCAGAGAGGGAAGCATTAGCCAGTAGTTAAACACGCAATTAGCACGGTATTTATAGCTCACTTCCCACCTCTTTAAGGCCAGAGAACCCAAAAATAGACACCTCCACCTGAATGACAGCTCCATTAGGATGTAAACTTTCAGGAATTTGTGATGTCATATGCTCGGGAGTGAAAAACCCACAGCCCGAAAGAACTTTGGTAAATCTTCTTGGGATATCTGAGAAGATTCTCTTGGGATACTTTTCCACTCCTTCCTTGGCACAATCTGTCTCAACAGTGCCACAGATGCCTTTGGAGATACAGTTTATTTGGATAGCGTTTTTGGGGAGACACCCAAATTGTTGAGCCATTCCTGATGGTTTCTGGAGAGAACCTGTGGGGGAAGCAATGCTTGCTCTGCCTCTGCTCCAGTAGTTCTGTGCCCACCGTGGTTTTCATTACTCATTTTAAAGTGTTTTCAGAGATCAAGTTTAATCCAAAGAGAAGAGAAATTCCAAGGGCTTTCCAGTACAGAACATTCTCTGTTTGGATAGAACTTGCAGAAGAGACCCAGAGCTGCGGGAGGTCAGGTCCTCAAGGGCCTCCAGTAGGAGGGGATGCCCAGTAGCTCTTAACTGGGCTTAGACCTGGTTTCCTAAGCCCACCTGGCACCATTTTATCCTGCAGATGCTGACAGTGGCACTGGCTGCCAGCCCACATGACCCCCTTCTCTCCTGATGGCTTCCACAGGGCAGGACCTGAGCAAGGATATCAGGGAAAAGCTCCGTGTGGAAAGGCGAACTAGCCTGTTAAAAACCCATCCTTCAGCTGTTTTCTCCTGTTGGGGGTTTAAAAGGCTTTTAAATTTACAAACCAGCTTGGTGGGGTTCTTTGAAACACATTAGAGGGTGGGTTTAGGGCAGGTTTGAACGCTGAGGGCAAAGCTTTGTGTGAGGTTCAGGGATGCAAATGGGAGTTTGTTGGTTTGACTGTCTTGGCAGGTGTTTGATGACTCCGTGTAAACTCTTGGCCTTTGATACCTCTGTGAGGAAGAAAAAAGCCTGAGAAACCTCAGCCTGAAAGGGAAAAGGCTTTTCAGGACACAGGATGTTTCTTGTTAAGCTTCTGCAAATGAAAAGGGGGATGTGCCTTCATGGAATCACAGAATCCCAGAACGGTTTGGGTGGGAAGGGAGCTTAAACCTCATCTCATCCCACCTCTGCCATGGGCAGGGACACCTTCCACTGTCCCAGGCTGCTCCAAGCCCCAATGTCCAACCTGGCTTTGGACACTCCCAGGGATCCAGGGGCAGCCACAGCTGCTCTGGGCACCCTGTGCCAGGGCCTGCCCACCCTCACGGGGAACAATTCCTAATTCCCAGTATCCCATCCATCCCTGCCCTCTTTTCGTTTAAAGCCATTCCCTGTGTCTTGTCAAGGATACAAAGTACAAACCCATCTCTCCTTGGACAGTGGATATACTTGGAACCTGTTGGACAAGTTGAAACTTAGGCAAATAAGGCTGCTTTTAATTTGTGGGGAGCAATCATAAATTGTTGTCAAGAAGATAAATACGGAAATAATGGGTGGATTAGCAGTGAGAGATGGGACAGGAGGTCTGAGGCAGGATGATCTAAGAACTTTCATGTGGATCTAATCAAGGAAGGGCATCTCACTTTGAGCTCAGATGAGTCCAGATGCATGAACTCCTCTTTCAGGAACAGAATTCCAAATGGTTTGAGTGGGAATGGACCTTAAAGCCCATCCCATTCCACCCCTGCCATGGGCAGGGACACCTTCCACCAGACCAGGTTGCTCAGGGCCCCACAGAATTTTGAATGGAGGATAATTTGCTCACACACGAGCCCAGAAAGCGATGTTACATTTCCTACAGATTCAAAATTAGCCCTGCAGATGGCTTTCTCAATTTTTCTCACATTTTCCTTGTTGGTTTTGCTGTTTCAGTCAAAACACATGTTTTTCCTTTGCTTGTCACTGGTTTATTTTTCTGTCTTCCTCTTTCATGAAGCCCATGCTTTCCAAAGTCATCTAGTAACTGCAGATGAGTGACAATTGGGGTGTTTTTATGATTTCCTCTCCTCCCTCAGTGGGAAGGGGTTAAAATGCACATCTGAGAAGACACACTGAGTGATTGTTGGTGGCATCTTCCTCGTGCATAGTCTCAAAACATCAGACAGCACCCACACCTTGCTGAAAAATGAGTGATTTATAGACAGCTTTTGCAGGAGCCTAAGTGTGTACGCTATGTGTGTGTGTGTGTGTTGTAACAGAGCTGGGTGAAAATGGGAAGAAAACCCCCAGGAAGAAACGTGTGTGTTTCTGTTCTTGGAAAGATGGCAGAGTTGCCACAAAGTTGGCCCCAGAATCTGGTGACCTCTGATTTTCTGACGTTTCTTGTCCCCCACAGGTTCCCTAACGTCGATGTTTGTCAGGCTGCCTTGCGGTGGTGTCGGGGTGAGTACTTCCCTTTAATGTGTAAATAATGTCCTGTTTGTTCTCTCCCCTGGTCTCCTCAGCACCAAAAATTGCTGCTTTGCATTCCATGGTGGGTAATTGCAGCCAGATGCTGCCCGTGAGCAGGGGCTGCCTGGGGCGCGGGGTGCCTCACGTGCCTTTCTTCAAAAGCAGCCGCAGCATTTCGGAGCTGCTCCGGGGAGCCCGAGCCTCAGGGACACTGGGAGGCATGTTCAGGAGGAAAAACCTCATTTCCCAGGCTGGCATGTTCAGTGGTGAAGGGGTTGCTGTGTTTGGAAGCAGCTCTTGCATCACAAAGTGCTTTTTTTTCTGTGGAAAGCAGGATGTGCTGGTGCTGTGGAGCTGTTCCATCCTCAGTCTCAGGGCTCCGGAGCCTCCTGCCTCCCACAGCAGGTGGGAAACATGGCCATGAAATAGGACAATATTTGGGAATGTACATTTTCCTGTGAATAGCAAGTTTCTCTGCCCTGGAATGAAAGAGCATTTGGCATCTTTTATTCTCCAGCTCCAGAATAATCCACGTGGATTCTCCAGGAGGTGACTAAAATACCCCTCCATCCCTCATGGAAAAGCTGAGTGTTACTTTTCAGCTGTCAAATTTCCATATAATCAGGCTTTTTACTGTTGTTTGTTCCCATAAAGCCGAAAAAAACCCAAACTCCAAATACCTTGTTTTGAAGGTTTTCTTTTTTTCCTTTGAAGCCTGAAAGCTTAAAAGTTTCCCTTTCAAGTCAGACTTTGTGCTCCAGAGTTTCTGTGGAGGGTGACAGGACAGAAAATCGTGGAGAACAGGAAGGGGAAAAGAATGAGAAGAGACAATAAAAGGCATTGTGTTTGAAAATTCACAGTGGTAGTTCTGCTGCATAATTGTAGCTCATGAGGTTGAATTTTCAAGGTCTGGATTCTGTTATGGAAATGAAACAAAATTGTTTTCTTCCTGAGTCTTTGCAAAATCGCTGCTTTGAAAATTATCCCGTCAGAAGAAAAAAAAAAAAAAGAGAATAATCGTCGTTTATTCATACCGCCACTCGTGGAGATATTTTATTTTGTATTGTAAATATGCTGCAGTCGCCTAATTCATGGCAAATTTTTGGCCAGAGCTTAAAAGGTTTGGATTTACTCTGCCCTGCAGTCAGGCATGCCATTCAAAGCAAAAAAAAATTATCATTTGCAAATGAAGACTGAATGGTAACAAGTAGAGACAGTGTCTGAGCCCAGCACGGGCCCAGAAGTCTTGCATTAAATCCCAAATCAGGGCAGGAAACGCCTCGGTGCTGGTATTCCTGATATGCTCCCAATAAAGATGGTGCTTGCTGCTTGGTTGTCTCCACAGAACCTTAATATTGAATATTTGCTGACTGGTGCAGTGTTTTAGCAGTCCTATCAGCAAAACCTGTGCCAGGGCCTCCCCACCCTCACAGGGAACAATTCCTTCCCAATATCCCACCTCACCCTGCCCTCTCTCAGTGGGAAGCCATTCCCCATTGTTTGCCAGATATTTTTCAGAGGGCAAACATGATGTCATCAAGTCAAAAGGAAAGGAAAAAAAAAATTAAAAATCAGTAGAATAATGTGTGACAGGTCCTCCTTTGGATTTATACTGGAGCAGGATAAAGCAGAATGATGGCTGATGATTGGAATTCAGGAGCTGAGGATGTTGTGTGAAATTATGGGCTGGAAAGCTTTGAAACCAGGCTCTTTTCCTGCAAGCAATCAAGTGTGGCTCTCTTCCTTTGGGGATGTTGTGTAGATGAAAAGGAAGGATGGGTCTGGAGGGGGGTGCAGGGCAGTTTTGCGGGGGAGGAGACCCTGGAGAGCTGTTCTGCATCGGGATAGAGGATGGAGCTTGGGCAGCCATGAGTTCTCCTCAAGAATGAGTGAAATGAAGGACAGGCAAGAGAGTGAATCACAGAATATCCAGAGTTGAAAGCACCCACAGGGATCATTGATCCAACCCCTGGCCCTGCACAGACATCCCAACAGTCCCACCCTGTGCATCCCTGAGAGCATTGTCCAAACGCTCCTGGAGCTCTGGGAGTGAAGCAGCAAGAAAATAGTTCAGAGCAACTCCCTTCATCTCATAACACCTTTCAGACTATCTCTTTTAATTAAAACCTCAGTCTTGATGAATTGAAGTCAAGGAGAGAAAGGATAAATTTGTTCCCAGGTGCTCGGAAGCTCTTTTTCCTTGTTGGTTTATCCCAAAAAGCCTTCCCACGGCTGACAAGCCTCCTCCCTTCTGCAGCCTTCTGGTCCTAGCAGGAGAGGAAGAAAGAAAGCGCAGAAGCACTGAAATCAACAGGTGTGAACACTGAGTGAAACATCACTCATTTATTTCTGCTGATCACTTGGGAATTGTGCTCAGCTTCGCTCTTCTGCAGCTCACACCCCTTTTTCAACGTCTGACTTCCTCGCACCACGGCCTTCCCTAATCCAGGATGATTAGAAGAAGGTTTTGGGAGAAAAAAAAGGAGTTTAAACTTCGAAAATCTGCAAAATCATCCCAGCACACTTGCATCCAGATTCTTCAAAACACTCAAAGGCTTGATTTGAGGATAGCTGATAAATTTGTTTTCTTTCCTGTTGCTGTGCACATTCTAAAAATAGCTGAAGATCTGCATTATTTTTCTGCACGTGTTCTAAAAACTCCAGAGGTGTTTGTGTTCTTGATCTTCTCCAGAGTAGGTGATTCTATTTTGGGGTGCAAGGGCTTTGACTAGAGCATATCAACAATTGTAACTGTGCAACTTGCAGAGCAGAGAGCATGGAAAGGACTTTAGTGGAATGGAAATGAGGAGGAACTAATTAGGGAGTCAGAGGAACAGAATGTGAGAATTATTTAATTGAGAGCAGGAGGAGACACGGTGGGGTGTCTTCCTCTGTGAGGGAAGAGCAGAACTCCTTCACTTTGCAGGGTCTGGAGCTCTGGTACAACCTGTGTCAACCTGTCCTGGTGCTTGATTTCTTGCCTGTGTATTTTTTCAGTAGAACTTTATTGTATTTTTATTCAGTAGAATAATTTTAGTGTCTTTTTATTCAGTAGAATAATGAAATCTTTTGTGGGGTGCTCATTTAATTCTGAGATAGCTGCACATTAGTGAATGGGAAAGTTTACAGTGTGAGTAGGAGGAATTTACAGTGTGAGTAGGAGCCTCATCATGGATATTAATAAAAAAACCTTGGGTTTTCCTTCAAGGAAGGAAATCATTGTAAGGAAATTGTAATTTTTATTATGAGGAAAGAAAAGCTCTTTGGGTTTCTTTTTGGACATTCTTCCTGGAATGCTCCTGGCAGGAGCCTGGATTCTGCTGGGGCCTGGATGTGGCAGTGCTTGGCTCTGGCACTGAAGAATCCTGTCTTTTTTATGGGAAAAACTGGCCCCAGCAGCCATCTGAGGGTCTGTTGGCCCCTTAGGACACGTGAATTTGGGTATTTTGTATTTCCATTGCTCTGGTGCCTCATAGGGAATGAAGGGGGCCCATGGAAGGAACCCTGAACTTGCTGTGTCAGGCAGGAAGGGAAGCTCTTCCCTGCTGGTGTCTGAGGTACTTTCTTCCAAAGACCCAGAAAAATGGGTTAGGTTTGCTTGGAGATGGGTTAGGTGTGCCCAGAGATGGGGTAGATACACTCCTTGGTGGTCAGATCCAGTGACAGGAGGCCAAAGATGGACCCTCACAGAGCACCAGTGCACTGGTCAGTGGGGAGAAGCAGCAGCTTGGACTTCTTCCCACCTCTTTAGGGGCTTTTGGAGAGACCTGGTGAGTTCAGGCCCATCTTCTGTATGTGTGCAATCCTGATCCAGGATTCCTGGAGCTGTCGTGTGTAACTCAAACTCTATCCTGCTGCTGTTCCCATGTTACTGCCCAAATTTACTGGGGTCCAGAGGAGCCCTGAGGCCACAAATAGTCACTGCAGGGCTCTCCCACAATGCAGTGGCATTCCCCAGAGGCTTTTTGGCGTTCTCCAAGCGTTTTCCTAGTTTATTGTGGCTTCCAAAGCACAGGTGGTGGATGCTACCAGAAACCATCCATGATCACAGAGCTGGAATCACTTCCAATGGCAGCTTCAGCACAGCTGGGAAGAAGGTGAATCAGTCCTCTACGGGGCCACTTGTGTCTCCTCACTGCTCAGTGAGCCAGGCACAACAAATGATCTCTTTCTTTCCATCTCTGCTTTTTGCCATTGTTTCCATAGATATACTCAGGGCAGAGTAATATGTGAAAAATAGCTGGTGGTCCTTCCCTTCCCAGTGAGGAATGTCCCGTTGATCTGATGACATGATCTGGAACAACAGCAACGGGCATGCCTGCAGGGTTTCTTACCGTGCAAAATGTGGCCTGTTTGCACATTTTCAGAGGGGGAATATGGTGGAATATTCAGTGTTGAAGCAAATCTGTGTGGTCAGCGCGGGATGCTGAAGGTCTGTTGTTAGAGTGGGTGAGCTCATGGCTCCCTAGGGAAGCTGCTGTCACTCCTGGGCAGTTGTCTTTTAAATGCCCAACAATAAACATCCCTCTTTATTGTAGATTTCTTTTTATTTTAAAGAATCGTTGAATTATTTAATAAAGTTTTTTTTATTTCATCTTAGATCAGCAGCAATTAAGGAGAAATGCTGATTCCACGGTCATAGAGTCACAGAATCACAGAATGGTTTGGGTTGGAAAGGACCTTAAAGACCATTTCATTCCATCCCCTGCCATGGGCAGGGACCTTCCACTAGCCCAGGTTGCTCCAGCCTGGCCTTGGACACTTCCAGGGATCCAGGGGCAGCCACAGCTTCACTGGGCACCCTGTGCCAGGGCCTGCCCGTCTTCACAGGGAACAACTCCTTCCCAATATGTGGAAGAAGCCCCCTCCCTTTCAGTTTAAATCCATTCCCCTTGTCCTATCACCCCGTGTGAGTGATGTCTTTATAATAGTGGTCTCTTGATTCCTGGTTGTCCTCCTTGCTCCTAACCTGGTTCCCGTGTGTCCCATCAGGTCGACAGTGACACCATTTGGAACGAGGTGCACTCGTCAGGCGCCGCTCGCCTGGCCGTGGGCTGTGTCATCGAGCTGGTGTTCAAAGTGGCCACAGGAGAGCTGAAGGTATGGAGACACCCCTCAGCTGTGCTCTGTGCAGGGCTCAGGGCTCTGCCGTGCAGCAGCTCCAGGACCTTCTCCCCCTCCACAATGAGGGAAAGCGTCGTCCACTGCTATGACCTTGTGAGGAATCCATCAAGAGCAACTCCAGAGTTCCCAAGCAGGATTAAGGCTTCTGGCTGCAGCCATCCTTGTTCCTCTGACCTTTTCCTTTCCTTGTGTTTTGTGTGCAGAATGGATTTGCTGTTGTCCGGCCCCCAGGTCACCACGCAGAGGAGAGCACACCCATGTGAGTATGGGGTTAACTGGCTTCATCCAGGGCTCCTTTGGTGGGGGATCCACAGCTGGGAATTCCAAAGGAATTCTGTTAGGTTATCACTGTGGAATTCCTGTTTATTGCTCGATGAGATGTGTGGTGTTCAGGACTCCCCAGATTCTCTGGAGCAGTGTAAGATCCTGCTTGGTGCTTTTAGGGGGGTGTTTCCTAGCAAGGATCAGCAGTGGGTTCGGGCAAGTGTGGGACATTCCCTGTTTCCCTAGAGCCTGCTGCTGGAATTCAGCACTCCCAATGGGAAATAGATCTAGTGGAAGGTGTCCCTGCCCATGGAACGAGATGAACTTCAAGGTCCCTCCCAACACAAGCCTTTTCATGTTTCCAGGGAGGAAAGAAGAGTGAAAGCAGAAGGAACTCCTTCCTCCCATGTTCTGGCTAGGTGATGGATGCAGTGGGACCACGGGAAGCTGTAATTAACACCTCTCTTTTCCTCTTGTCTCCCCTCTCCAGGGGTTTCTGCTATTTTAACTCCGTGGCAATCGCAGCCAAGCTGCTCCAGCAAAGGCTTAACGTGAGCAAAATCCTCATTGTGGACTGGGTGAGTAAATGCCCCTTCTTTCCCTTTGGGAGAGCAGGTGGAAATTATTCTGGGTGGGTTTCTTCTTGCAAGAGCAAGCTCTGTAAGTCAGTGAAAAACTTCTTGGCTGTTGTCTGCAAGCCAAAATTTGGGGTTTTAATTGAATAAAAGTGTTCCAATCAGAGAAAAAATTCTTAAAGAGACCAGAATTTTCAAATAAAAAGAAAGGGCTTATTTGGAATTCTGCTGTGGCAATGTTAAGATTTTTATTTTTTTAATAGGCTGGGAAGGCATTGGAGTGACTGGGTATCAGCCAAAAGTTTTGGCTCTGTTGCCACAAATCACCCACAGGTTAAACCCGCAAGTTAAAACGCATTTATTTGTCTTTTGGGCTTACTGGATGGATGTTTTTTTCCTCACTTCCCACCTGTTTTTGATGTCAGGGAGGAATATTTGAAATAGCTGTCCCATCACAGGCTGTGTTTGTGCATCACACGGCAGCTCAGTAGGGGAGCTCTCATGAGTTGGGTTGTTTGACTTGGATTCAACAGAACTTTATTTGTATCAGTGCTCACCCCACAGACTGACTAGAGATGCAGATGTGGGGCAACAAATATCCCAGTATCTCCATCCCCCAAGACTGGTGTGAACCCAGTTCTTTCCATCCAGGTAAATGAGTCCTCAGTTTCATGGACATTTGGGATTGTGTGTATCCCATGTGTTAATCAAGGAGAGTAATCTCAAATTAGGCGTGCAAAACAGGTTATTCCCATTCCACATAAACTGCTTCAGCCACGTTGGAGAAAACAAAGCTCAACAGCATGGGAAACCCCTCCAAATCCCAAACTGATGCCTTTAATCCGTGTTTTTAGTGAAGGATTAACCTCCCTGTCCCTGCAGGATGTCCACCATGGGAATGGTACTCAGCAGGCCTTCTACAACGACCCCAATGTCCTTTATATCTCACTCCATCGCTACGATGATGGCAACTTCTTCCCAGGCAGTGGCGCTCCAGATGAGGTGAGCACATGGATCCCAGAGTCCCGGGACTCAGAGGAGCTCTTGCCACCTTCAGAGCTCCTCTGGGTTTTGTGTCCCCATCCAAGGACACTCCAGGTCCCTGTGATCCAGCAGCCACGGGCACGGTGTCCTGGCTGGAGCTGGCAGGACAGCAGCAAACGAGTCACTGCAATTTAGCTCTCCAGCCCTTGTGGGACAGCCTGCTCCAGAGGAGCCCTCTGCTCTTCCCTCTGCCAGCTGTCCCAGCACTCTCTGTCCTGTTCAGGATTTCCCCTTCCTCAGCAGAAGTTGTTTGTTAGATGCTGAAGGAACAGATTGTCCATGCTGCACCACCCACACTCGGTTTTCCTGGCACAGCCATGGAGCCTGTCGACCTCCCCTTCTCCACCTCCCCTTCTTTCTCCTGGCCCTGCCCAGGTATTGCTCATCACCACCAAGGCTGCATCTCCACCCCAAATTTGTGGGATTTGAGGGCCAGTCACGATGCTCCTGGAGCAAATCCCCCTTTCCTGGTGGGAAATCCAGCAAGAGGGCTGGGCCAGTGGGGCTGAGAGCTGAGCTCTGGATGGATACATCCTTCCTTTCCCCCTGGGCTGGCAGGAAATACGGTCCTTCAGAGTGATTTAGCAAAGGGAAGTTTTTTGGAATACTTAAGAGTGCTCCGAGACTCTCCAGGTGACATCTGAAAACTTCTTCCCCTGTCAATTTTACATTTTCTGCTTGAGGAAACATCAATATTTCCATTTCAACCTCTAAAGAAACTTAAATGTGATGTGATGCTGCTGACTGTTATAGGGAATGAACAGCAGCCCTTTGTATCAGGCTTAATTCCTGCTTTTTAGCAATCTGGTTTACAAAAGGAGTCGTTTTTAGATGTGTCATTTTAGACCAAATAAAAGAAAGAATACCGAACAAGTTTGATTTAAGCCAATGATGGATAAATAACCCACTGTGGGTAGATGAACCCCTGTGTTTTTCTATCAAAAATATTTGCACCAGTATGAGGAATAAAGTGCAATAAAAGCCATGCAGTTTTGTCCAGCTGTGCAACACATTGATTTTCACTTTTTAATTATTTTTTTTTATATGCAAAGACATTCTTGGCAAAAAAAAAAAAAAAAAAAAAAAAAAAAAAGCGGAAAACCCCTGGTTTTTTTTTAATTTTCCCCCTTAAAGCTGGAAAACCCTGGTTTATTTTTCAGTTTTCCCCTCTCTCAGGTAGTTGCAGGCAGGGCAGATGGGGACATTTGCAGTACAAGCGAGGAGAGGGATGTATTTACATCTCCCACCCACATGTCCCTCAAGCAGCCAAAATCCCTTCTCTGTGAATCCTATTTTTCTCCAGCAGAGGGGGAGCTCACTCTGATTAAAATACACTTTTTTCCCCAGTTGCAACTGTCGTGAAATATAAAATATGCTCCTGAATCAAGTTTAAAATGAATTATGGAAAGGTATTACATGCAGCACACACTGCTGCAGAAAAATCAGGAGGGTGCAGTTGATGATGGGGTGGTTTTTTTGGGTGAGCAGCAGTCAAACACCACCAGTCCTCAGCTCCCATAAAGATGTGAGCATGGAGGAGCTTTATTGTCCCTCCTGTTTGAGGGACCAGGGACTAATCTACCTGACTACTGGATCCAGATCTAAATTGGACTGGGAGAACATCAAAACAGCAAAGATTTTTTGCCAGAATTTGATAATTAAGAGTTCCATTTCCCTTTCCAGGTTGGCACAGGAGCAGGAGTTGGTTTCAATGTTAACATGGCATTTACTGGTGGTCTGGATCCGCCCATGGGAGACACGGAATACTTAACTGCCTTCAGGTACTACTGAATTTTCCCTCTCACAAATGTATTTTTCACCTCATCTGGGTTTCTTTCTCCTCCTGCCATTCTCCGTGATTTATTTTTGATAAGCTTTAAAATTTTGATATTATTTATCCAAGAGTGGTCCTGGCACAGGGTGCCCAGAGCAGCTGTGGCTGCCCCTGGATCCCTGGAAGTGTCCCAGGCCAGGTTGGACATTGGGGATTGGAGCCACCTGGGACAGTGGAAGGTGTCCCTGCTCATGGCAGGGGTGGCACTGGATGATCTTCTTTAAGTCTCCTTCCCACCCAAACCATTCCATGATTTTTCTTAGACACTGTCCTGTCCCACTCCCTGGCTCCCCTGTGCCATGGGTCCACCTGGCCTCTCCTTTTACAATCTGAAGTGCTTTTCTGTCCTCCTCACACCTCTGGTGGCCTAAATTCAGGCACACACACACTTGCCAGAGCACAGGGTGTGAATTTCTAGGACATCATCTTCGTGGAAGGGCATTAAATCCGGGAGCATTATTTTCTGCTCATCCCTGTTATATCCCGTTAGGCTGAGCAAAAAGCGCCTTTTCCCCCTCTTCATTCTGCCATCCTGAAGCCCTCAGAGAACACACACGATTTCAAATGACACCAAATCACTGCCATTTGTGTCACTCCTGGCTCAGGAAGGCAGCACATTGCTCCAGAGTGGGAGCCTGGCTATCCCAGCCGCCCCAGGACGGATCTCTTCATAGCCAGAGCACCTGGAGCTGGGGACATTAAATATCAATTGAGTGTCCAGGCTCCTGGAAAAGGCTCAGGGCTGCACAGTGAGGCCTTTGCCAGCCATTCCTGGGGTCTGCTTGCCTGGACACTGCAGCTATTTAGGGAACAGCCTTTGGAGTGGGTCACAGCCCTTATTTTGGGGAGTTTTGGGGGAGCTGGGGGATGCTCCTTCCAGAGCCTGCACACCTTCAGTTTAGCCATAAGTTAAACGAGAAGCATTTTTTTCATCCTATGCCAAGTTTGACCATGATAGTACATTATCAAGTGACCTTTTTAAATCTTAACCAGCTCCTTTGAAAAACATTTTTCCCCCCAACCCCCAAATCTTTCTATTGATTTTCATGTAAAATAATGCTTTGAAGTTTGCAATTTATAGTCCCCCGAGAGTTAGAAAGTGAAGGGAATGGGTCATATATCCTATTTTTTCCCCCTTCTTTTCTTGCTTTAGCCCCTTGAGACAATACATGCCTTCAAGGCAGCACCTTGTTATTCCACCCCGTCGAATGCCACGTTGCATTTGCTGGGGATCAAACCGAAGATGAAGAAAAGATAAGAAAATTGGCCGTAATGAACTCCAGAAGCAGGAGGCATTTTCACCATGAACTTGGAAACTCACAGTGGAGAACTGAGCTTTAATTCAAACCAGTCCGAATGCCAAACTGTGAGGCTTTGAAGTCTGGAGAGGAATCAGTGGAAATCCTTTGAGCTAGGCAAAGATACTGATAAGACTTTTTATTTTTTTTTTTTTCAAGCCTTAACTCTTCACATGCCTGTCTGTTTCTAGGGAAAAAAAAGTCCTTTTTCTGTGTAAAAGGAGCAGATTTAAATAAGCAACATGCTCCTCATTTTTTGTTGCTGTGTTTCAGGAAAAGCCAGTGTGTGTGGGTTTGAGAAATGAAAGTAACTGAGATAATTGTCCTTCTGAATGAGAGAAATGAGGGAATAAATAAATCCTAGTGAAACCACTCATCCCCACACTAAAAACTTATTTCAGAGTGGGTTTGCTCCATGCAAGAAAGAGATGGGAACTCAGATCAGTGATTTTCATCCTCCAAATATTACTAAATTATTAGTCTTGGGGTGCCCAAGCTCTTCTGACCTCTGCATGGTCCTTAATGCCATCGAGACGTAACAGAAGTGACGAAGAGTTAAAAATGAGCTTTCCTCTGCACTTTGTCACTTGTTGCCTTCTTAACCTGCAGCTGAAATCACTGCCTGCTCCAGCTCCAGGTTGGGGTGCACTGTTTTTGTGGGGGGGAGGGGGTGATTAGAAGGGATCTGGCAAGTTTTTTGGGAGCCTGGAGCTCCTGCCCCCTGTGGGTAGCTGCGGCTGGGCCAGAGTCAGCTCCACATCCCATGTCTGAAGTCACCCCCCAAGTGTTGGGCAATCCCAGATTTCACAGATCAGGCAGAAGTGGGGTCAGTTTAATGGGAAAAATGCAGGGCACATCGTTCCCAAAGTCCTGAACTGCCCAGAACATTCCCGGTGCCTCCGCTGTCGTTCCATAGTTACAGAAACAAACAAGTTGTAAAATTCAGAGGGGTTTTTTGGACCAGGCTTTGTTGTTCCCTTACATTTTACATCAGCTGAAATCCTGTTTGCCTCTCTCAATCCTCCTGATCCAGGTGCAGAGACCTGTAGGAAAAATGGGAAGGCTTCAGCTGGTTCCTTATTGCACGGGAACAGCAATTAGTGAAATTAAAAATGTTTTATCCGCAGAAATTTCCCTCTGAATTTACTGCAAGGAAGTTGTCCTGATGATGCCAGCAGTTGTGTTGTGTCTGAGAATTTCTTCTCCTGTCCCAGTAATTCCACCATCATTCCAACATGATTCCACGTACAGCTCGATTCCCATTTTGACTTTATTTAAAACACCTCAGCCAGAAGGAAAAAGCCAGGACTGCACTTCCCCCTCCTCCTGCTGCTTTCAAAAAGCTTTAAACAAGTTCAGAGACCAATTTTAGGGGCATTTAGGTTTTTCCCTCGATCCATAAACCATTTCAGGAGTGAGGAAGAGGATGAGGGGGAAGAGATGCTGATGGTTTGCCTGGAACGGTTGTTGCTGTATTTTCAATTTCATGCTCTCCCCATGCCGATTTCATCCCAAAATTCCTAATCCCTTTTGACACAGTAAATGACCATGAAGAAGCAAAGACTGGAATTTTCAGGAAGCTGGTTAGCCTGAGGAGCAGTGGATAACATTTTTATTTTATATATGTAAAATATGTAATGTGTATAAAACCATATATAGAAATATACACATGATATATATGAAATATAAAATATATCAATAGATATATAAATATATTCATAATATAAATATATACACTTCACATAAATAAATTTTTATATTGCACATATAAAAATATATATAAAACATAGATTTGGCCAAGAGTGGGAAAAAGTCTAAAAAAGTGTTCAGCCTTCTAACTTTCACCAATTTACTCGCTGCAATTTAGCACTTAAAGCCCAAAATAATCCTCTGTAGGATAGTTTCATTTACCTGTCATTTATTAGGCATTTAATTGGGGAATTGGCTAATGCCAGGCTAAAAATTGTTCATTCAGCCTTCTGGAAAATAGATCTAAAATTACATTTATTCTTTTTTCTTCTCTCCCAAGCGATTGCAGAACACAATGGGGAGGCTTTGCTGGTTGCAGCCATCCGTTCGCTCTTGTGCAGAGCTGTTCAGCTCAGCTGTAACCAGGCAAATAAAAGGATTTCATTTATTTTAAGCAAGCAAAACAAGCTTCTGAAATTAGGGAAATTTCAGTTTCCTTGTTTTTTAAAAAATTCTATATGGATTGAATGAATATTCAGCGTTAGGAATATTCATTCCTCAGTGAATAACTTTACAGCCACCTCAGCGATTCCTTAAAAGACCCAACTCCAGGCAGAGCTGCTTATCTCCTGGGTAATAATTCAAATTTCTGGCTTTTTTAGAGTCTCATCAGCAGGGCAAAGCCAAGGGGTTGTTTCCAGTTTAATCCTTGTTTCCCCTCGAGGGTTTGACTTTACTGGGGTGGATCTGAGTGAAGGGGCTGGTTTTATCTGTGGACAAGGGAAAAATAAAAAGCAAAAAGCTGAAAGAGATGTGTCCAAAACGTTGTCCACAGATGGAATCTCGGAAACACTCCGGATTTTTGTCATTTTTTCTTATAATTGAAAATGCAAAATGAGGGAGTTCTGGCTGTGACCCTCCTGGATCAAGTTTTACATCCATGGAGAGCATCAGACAGAGTTTGATGTGGCTTTGGGATGCTGGTGTCGTACTGGAATTAGGAGAAGGGCTTTTTCTCTCCTAGAAATGCCCCTGGCAGGGTTCAGGGTTAGCCCTGGGGGCTGTGTGGCTGTGCTGGAAGAGTCACTGTGCCACTGTCACCCGCAGCCACCTCCAGCTGAGGGTCACCAGCTGCCCCATTCCTCAGGAGCCTCAGGACACCCGTGCCAGGCGTTGGAATGAGATGGAGGTCAAGGTCCTTCCCAGCCATGCTGTGCTCCATGAGCTGTCCCATGGCTGAGAATCCCCATGGATCTGTGATCCCACGGGTTGCTCAGTGCTGGTGGACCTTCCCCAGCCCCTGGGGATGCAGGTTTTGCCTGGCTCTGGTGATCCCACACTTCCACTGAGATCCTAGCAGCTCCCACGGCGTCGTAACTCGGGGAGGGGGGGAAATAAATCTGATTCTTCTAGCAGTTTTCCTTGGGTTAGGAATGAAAAAGCTCAGGGAAAATAAACCTTTGGCTGCTGCACTTGCTCTGGAATTGCTGCTTCAGGCCTTGGTGAGGGAGGTGGTTTCTCCTAAAAATTTCTATGGGTTCCACCAAACTGTAAACTCATCAGCCAGAGCTGTGCTCTTGTCCTCCTCATGGAATCATCCCCCAAGGGCAAAATGGAGAGGGGCAATCATGTTGTCAGAGGAGAAAATTCAAATTCCTTGTTGGGATTTTGTGTGTATTAAGGGGAAATGCTATCCCTTTGTTCTCACAGAGGTCTCTGTGTCTGCACACGGAGATCAGCAATGTTGCAGGAGGCTCTGGGGTTGCTGTGGCAAATAGTTGGGAAAAACATAAAGCTGGGAGGTGTGTGTGGGGGTTGTTTTTTTTTTTTTTTTGGTGTCTGGGTGCCTGTTCCTGCTCTGTGGTGGCAGTGGAGACTGGGGGATGGGTTTGCTCAGTGCCTGGTGGAGGCTGATGCCCCGTTCTGAGGGGCACGAGCTCAGCTGGATGTCACGAGCTGCTGACTCTGGCATATGTCTCCTGGCTGTTTAATATCCTCATGGCAAAACCTGGGAGCTTTTATGAGCGTTCTGATAGCACTTCAGCCATCTCAGCACAGAACAGGCCCCCCGGGCTCTGTTTTTAGAGCATCACAAAGACTCAGCTCAATAAAGTGTGAGGTTCTCGTGTGTGCAAAGATTTAGAGGTCCATGCTTTGGGATGTGGGTAAAATAACCTCAGTTCCTGCTCTAGAAAGTTATGCTGGCTGGTGGCTGTTCCTAGGATGGGTAAATGGGAAAATTACAGGTCAGGTTGCCCTAGGGATACATCCAGAACTCAGTAGGTGCAGTTACAATGGAAAAAACGTAATTTGGGAAGTGTGTCTTGATGTGGGGAATGGGATGTTTGCAACCTCCTGTAGGTTTTGAGGAGAATTTGTGGAGTTTGGAGAGAGAGAAACCAGAAGGAAAAAAGGTCTTTTGGTGAGAAACCACAGGAACAGACCCCTCGTTTAATTTAACTACAACTTCAACAATCAGTAGGATGGGCATACTGAACAATTCCATCCATTCTTTAGTGAACAAAACGTCAGAGGATGGGGAAGTGGCATTGGGAGAGGTGGATTTGGGTGGGATATTTGCATTCTAAAGCTGTTCTGCCCCATGGGACACTCTAGCCTTTTGTTGTGGGAAATGAGAAGTGCAGCAAGGGAGGAAGGAATCACTTTGCAAAGCCTAGAGGAGATGTTTTGAGGGAGGACATGGAGATAATGCCTTGGAGTGAGGTTTCCTAGGTAGTTTTGCAGCCAGATGCCCTCTTACTTTGCCCTTATTCCCATGTATGTAAATCAGGATGTGATCCCAAATGGGAAACACAAGGGGTGACAACTCATTTGCCTGCTCAAAACACGAGGTGGAGGAAATCCCAGGGAGTGCAAGGAGTTCTCCCAGCTAGGCTCTCACCTTGTAGAGAAATAGATGGGCTTTGCTGCCACGGAATAAGGGTTTGGTGAGAGGGTTTAAGCACCCCTGCCTTTGCTCAGGAGCCCCCTGACGTGTGTGCTGTGGATATTCTGTGTTGCAGGACAGTAGTGATGCCCATTGCCAACGAGTTTGCCCCAGATGTTGTGCTGGTGTCATCTGGTTTCGATGCTGTGGAAGGGCACCCCACACCCCTGGGAGGATATAATCTGTCAGCAAAATGTAAGTGGGGGCTTTACTTCTACTGCTGTCATGTGGATTAAAGGACAGTGTTCCCAGATTTTACTTAGTGGGGTCTATTTCAGATCTTTCATTTCAATGGCAAAACTTGCATCTTTCTTCTTTGAATTTTCATGGCATTTATCTTTTTATAATGCATATTTTGGCCCAGCTGAAGCCTTAATTTTGGGGTTTTTTTCTAAGCATTGCATATTTCAACTTCGAAATATTCAATATGTAATATTGTGTAATTTATTTGTAGTCACATCTCTGCTGAATTAAAGAGTTATTAATATAAAATTGCAGAAAAAGGCCATACCAGCTCTAAACACTCTCATTGCCACCACAAATCCATTTCTTCCTCCAGGACACCTTATTAAAATTTTGAGCTGAATATTTTTGCTCTCCACCTTTGAATTAATTACAGACATCCACAAACCCTTCTTTTTGCTTCAGGTCTGGGATGTTTTTGGGAGATTCAATGAAATCCCCCCCAGGTTACGTGGAGTTTACCTGGCACTGTTTCCTTCAAATTAATCCAGAGGAGAGTTTTTCTTGCAAAAAGGGTTTTACTATTATTTTTTAAGAGTTTGTTCCAGCCAGAAAAGTTGTTCTCTACAGTGAACTTTAAAACCTCATAAGGGAGCTGAACCTGTAAACTTTATGTAAGACTAAAGTGAAATAGGTTTACAAGAGGCAAGTTCCTTGAGATATCCAGAAACATTTTGGAAAGGAAAGGTCTTGTTTACCTGCTGGTTGAGTTTGCCATGCTCTGCTCCTCTCACAAAACCAGTTGTGTGCTCAGCAGTGGATGGTTTTCTCTGCCTGTTAATTTGTTAATTTGCCAACTCGCAAAGGAGTTCGCTCCGAGGCAGAAAGCAGGCAGTGGGGATGGAGGGTAGAAATTCCCTGGCTTCTCCTTTGTTTGGCTTTTTGATTTTTATTTTTTTTTCTCCTGGAGGGGGAAGGTTGCTTTGAGGATACGTTTTTTAAATCCTCGCTGCTTGGTTCTGTTTTGTTTAAAGGGGGCAGAAATGTATTGTGTGTCATCTGATCAAAGTGCCGGGTGCCCCTGGAATTTTTATAGCATATTATGGACGGGAAGAGCTGTCTGCTGAGAACGAGATGTCAAACCTAAATCTCTCTGGGGCACTGCGCTGCTGCTATCCCCACCCAAACTGGGCCGGTTCCCCTTCCTCCCCCTTCCCCAAAGCAATATCCAGCAGAAATCTGCCCTTTTCCCTGCTTCCAAAGGGAAGGTTGGCTGCTGGCTTTAATTTGGGGTGTTGAGGGGTGGCAAGGGGAGGATGGTGATGCTCTCGGCCGGGGTGGTGCTGGTGGGGGACACACGGATCTATCCCAGGGAAGCCGCGGTTGGAGCCGCGCGGTGAGCACGTTACAGCCCAACCTGGCTCGCGTTATGCGCCGAGCCTTTTCAAATCCCTGCTGGCTTTTTAATATGATGTAATTCCTCTCCCTAATTCTTTGATCCTCTGCCAGGAGCCCCATTCCAGCCGCCACCTTTGCCCTTCTCCTGCATTTCCTCTGTTCCCTCCTTGCAGGCTTTGGGTACCTGACGAAGCAGCTGATGGGCCTGGCCGGGGGCCGTGTCGTGCTGGCCCTTGAGGGTGGCCACGACCTCACGGCCATCTGCGACGCCTCGGAAGCTTGTGTGTCTGCCCTGCTGGGAAACGAGGTACAGGCACCCCCAAAACCCACTCCCCCCTCGGCTTTGGGCGTCTCATCCTCCCGTCTGCCAAGTTTCTGTCGTTGTTTTGTGTCCTTCTGACACTTGGTGTTTAGAAGAGTGTTTGTTTTGTGCTTAAAAGCCACCTGTGCTTTGCAGTCCCTGCAATGAGTGAAACAGCTAAGAATGATTTTTGGATTTGTTCTTTCTCCAAATAATTTGCTTTGTGCTCTTTGAAAAACAGCTCTTTCGATTAATTTCTGAATTCGTTGTGCAAGTCTTCCCTTCTCTTTGCTCCCCTCTCTAGTCCTACAGCCTGTGGCTGCTACGTGGGGCAGCTTGCTTGACATGGTTTGCAGCTGGGTTTTTTCCTAGGAGTTACATTTTCTATTTTCTGCACGTTGCTGTGTAGGAAAAGCCTTGGCTGTGTCAGAAAAATTGGCCAGAAAGGTGAGGGAGGGATGATTGCAAGATAAGAGCCAGACAGAGAAATATAGCAAGATGTTGGATTGTGAAGAGCTGAGAGTATTTTCCTACAGAGAAAATTTTAGATACTCCATCTTTTCTGCTTTTTTCCCCCCCACTTTTAGTGTCAGTGGGATGAAAGAAGGAACACTACATGTACACATCTTTGAAATCCTTGCAGGGGTGTTGACTCCACACTGCCCTGGGCAGCCTGACTGAATGCCTGAGCACGCTTCCAGTGAAGGAATTTTCCCTAATATCCAACCTAAACCTCCTCTGGTGCAGCTTGAAACCATGTTTGAGGGCTTTTTGAGTACAGATACTTTGGGCTGAGGTGCAGCTCCAGAGGAGCTGAGCAGTGGGTCTGTCTCCAGTGGGACATGATTTTTGCGGAGGGTTGTAGTTCACTGACCATCAGGTGTCTGGAAAGATGGAGAGGGAGCTTGGATCTGCATGGAGGTGTGGAGCAGTTTGACCTTCAGCCTGTTGCAGAAGTGTTCTGTCTTGGAGTATCCACACTCAGCGTAAGGTGGGAGGCTGGGGGAGCCAGGCCAGGAGATAAACCAGCTGGGATTCATCAGAAGCACCTGCTTCCATCATCCAGCATCCCAGCTCCCAGTGTCCAGGGAGCATCCTGCTCCTTGTGCTTGGCCAGGCAGTTCTGAGAAGGCTCTGGGCACGGGGAATGGCTCCAGCCTGCACTCAGCCCTCGGGATAGCTGAAAACTCAGGAGGCAGCTGCCACACCAGCATGGAAACAGTGGGGTTCCAGTGGTGGGGCACTGGCACAGGTTTCATAGAGAAGCTGTGGCTGCTCCTGGATCCCTGGAAGTGTCCAAGGCCAGGTTGGATTAGGTTTGGAGCAGCCTGGGATAGTGGAAGGTGTCCCTGTCCCAGGCAGGGGTTGGGACTGAATGAGCTCTAAGGTCCCTTGTAAGCCAGACCTTCCTGGGATTCTGTGAGGTGTTTATTGCAGCACCCATATGTTTTAAGTGGTCACTACAGACAATTCCTCTGGCTCCAGCCACCTTTGGGTGCAGGATGCACTTTGAAAGAGAAGCAATGGGAATAACACGTGGAGAATGTCGTTCCTCCTGCTCAGTGTGCTCCTAGGAGCACAGGAGGCTGACTGCAACCACAAGCAGTAAATAAGTGCTTGATCCAAGCCATGGGTGGGTTTGGGAGTGTGAGGTTGTGGGGAGAGCTCAGCACTCAGGATACCTTGGATGTTGTGAGCTACCTGAGTGATTTCATTGAGCAAAGGAAATATTGATCCTTAAAGATAAAAACCATTGATTATTTTAATAATGGCTATAAGGACACTTAAACGCAGACCTGCTCTCACTTGTCCTAGGTGGGCTGTGCAGATAGGGTAATATTCCCTGGCTTACCCACACATCAGAAAGCAGGAAACACTTGTTTGATCCAGGTCTTTCCTGGAACCTTTTGAAGGCAGGGGAGTCGGGGGGAGCGGCTGCAGCTCTGTGCTGCGGCCCTTTGATGCAGTTTGATCTACAGCGTGTCGGAGGATCCTGCCTGCACACACATGGACAGGCAGCTGTGGCCAGGGCAGGCTGCAGGGAGCTGGGCTGGCTCAAGAGCCATCCTGGAGCTCCACTGGGGCTGGTAGGAAATGAGGGGAGCAGTGTCAGTCCCCTGAGCACAGCGTCCACCGGCGGAGATCAAAACTCCCGCGTCGGAAGAAGCATGGGGCCAGCGCAGGAACCAGCTCCTTTCCAACCTGCCAGGAAATTAAACCAGAGCTGAGGCTGTGCAGCTGATTACTGCACTGGGGAGGGGGTCAGGGCTGGGGAATGGACCTGCATTGCTGTGCTGGCAGAACTGTGCAATGCTCACAGGGCTTCAGTGGAAATCAGGAGTGGGAAATCAGAGAGAGACTTTGATACAGTCTGAGAGACTTTGGGTTGTTCTGCCTGGAGAAGGCTCCAGGGAGAAATCTTCCAGTGCCTAAAGTGACTCCAAGAGAGCTGGACAGGAACTTTAGGCAAGGGACAGGAAAAGGGGGAATGGTTTTAATCCATTTTAACCCAGTGGGCAGGGTTAGATGGGATATTGGGAAGGAATTGTTCCCTGGGAATTGTTCTCTGGGCACAGGGTGCCCAGAGGAGCTGTGGCTGCCCCTGGATCCCTAGAAGTGTCCAAGGTCAGGCTGGGCAGGGCTTGGCACAACTGGGCTAGTGGAAGATGTCCCTGCCCATGGCAGGGGGTGAGATGAGATGAGTTTTAAGATCTCTTCACCCACCAGTATTCCATGATTCCATGATTTTGGGGTCTGCTGATGGCAGTCCAGACCAGTTAGCCACCGTTCCTTTCCCATTGCTCTGCAGGGCTGCTCAGTCCATCGTGGGCATCCCCAGCCTCTGCCCTTCAAAAAAGAAGGTGATGACAACCAAGTGCCTCATGCCCAGAGGTTTTTTGCTCCCTTTTCCACAGGCTGAGGCTCTTTGTGATTGCTATTTCAGGAGGAGGAGTGAGTTCTGGAATCAGGAACATGCTTTGTCTCAGTGTCAACCAAGAGGCCTTGGAAAGCTCTTGCACAAAGACTTATCCAGGAATCGCTTTTGCCTTCACTTAATGTCATACAGAAACCAGTTTGGAGCAGAACTATTTTTAGAGTGGAGAATTAATAAAAAGTGCAATCCATAATTACTGAATCTGGAATGCAGCATCCCGTGAAGTACCGATGGAATGGCTGCCATGTGCTCATAAGAGCAGTTTTGGCTGCAGCTTCTCTTGGCTTTCAGCAAAGTTAAACTTTGCCATAGATATTTTTAACTCTTAAACTCTGGCTGTTCTTTGCTGGGGAGCATCCCTGGTTGAGCTGTTTTCAGCACAGTTAACAGCAGTGGACATCTCTTGTTTTGGACAGCCCACCTTGGAGGTTTGGGATTAATTCATTCATTAGTGGAGAACCTGGGAGGGCAGAGGTGTCTTCTCTTCTTGAGTTTTTCTAAAGAAAATCAAATAAATCCTAAAATATTCCTCCATCAGTGTTTGTCAGGCCTTTCCCTGGGATAGCACAGGCATGTTCCCACTGCAGAATGACTAGTGGAAGGTGTCCCTGCCCGTGGCAGGCATGGAGTGGGATGAGCTTTAATGTTCCTTCCCACCAAAACCGTTCTGGGATTCAATGGTAACATTCCTTTGGTGTTCGTCTCTCTCTCTCCAGCTTGACCCTCTTCCAGAGAAGGTTTTCCAGCAGAGAGCAAATGCTAATGCAGTGCATTCCATGGAGAAGGTCATCGAGATCCACAGTGAGTGCAGCCCCACCGACCCAACTGCATCCCTGGGGGATCCCCCTTGGGCTTCCCCACCATTGTGCCAGCTCCATGCTCCCATTTCCCAGTTTACTGGTGGTCACTGCATCCTGAGCTGGGTTTGTGCAGCCACGAGCTGGTGTTACTGTGGATGGAGCCATGCTCAGCAGGGCTTTAGCCTTTAGGGCGAATTACAGAATCAGAGCACGGGTTAGGTAGACCTTCAGGAGGATCCAGTCTAGCTGTTAACCCAACAAAAATTAAAAGATCTAAAATCTCTGTAAAGGACAGACTGTCCTGCCATTAGAGGGTGCTCTTAATACTTCAAAAGCAATTAAGTATCTCTGAATAGCACAAGTCTTGTTGGGTGTTGTGGCACCCATCAATTAGGAGTAGATAGGTGTGGAAGTGAAGCAGGCTCACAGGCACAGGCTGGGATTCTTGGGATGTCCTGTGCAGGGCCAGAAGTTGGACGCGATGATTTCTCCCAAGGGATGATCCCTTCCAAGGATATTCTGTAAGTTTTGCTGACAGTTGTTGATATTTTAGGTTTATTTAGCTAAATAAATGATTTAAAATCATGGCATTGAACCTTGCCTGGAGAAATTATTGGAAATTCTTTCCTCTGGAGCCTTCCCAGTGCTCTTCCCAATGCAAAAGGGTGTCAAACTGCCGACATAAAAAATATTTTGGAGGTTGAAGGTTGGACTTGGTGGTCTTGGAGGTCTTTTCCAACTTAATGGTTCTAAATACATCTTGGACTTCTTTAGTCTTCGGGGATTTGCCCACTGAAAGTATGTGGCAGTCAGCAGGTGGATCCAGACCTGGACTGCATCCTTCCCTCTCCTGGATTTTTTGGTTGAGAGACATTTCCAGGCACATTTGTCCTTAGGTCTAGAAGTTTCTGAGGTATTTGAAGTGGAAAAAGGAATTCTTTTTTGAGCACCTAAGGCCCTTAAAGTGAGAGTATGGATCAGATGAGTGTTCCTTGGGCAGTTCCGAGCCAGTGGCCAGGTTTGGGAAAGCAGGAGCTGGAATGGTGCCCTGATGGCCCTGTTGTCACCTCTCCCCCAGGCAAGTACTGGCATTCCCTCCAGCGTTTCGCCTCCACGGTGGGATATTCCCTGGTGGAGGCCCAGAAGTGCGAGAACGAGGAGGCGGAGACAGTGACAGCCATGGCATCGCTGTCGGTGGGTGTGAAGCCAGCGGAGAAGAGGTCAGTGGTTTCCCATCACATTTCCAGTCTGTGCAGCTAGGAGGAGCTGCCTTGCAGATTAATTCTCTCCTTTCAGCCACTGCTGCTGTGCTTCCCACATCCCCTGTCTTCCGTGGGTTCCCAGAAGATCTCCCGGGCTGCAGGGGAGCAGCAGAGCCATGAGCTCTGTGCGTGCACCCTGTGCATGAGCCTTCTGTTCTGAGTGTGGTTTTGGACCACAGAAAGGAATTTATTTTGCTGGGGAAAATCTTAGTGTTGCCCAAGTGAGATTGTCCAAAAACCCTTCTTGGTGGCAAGTTTAATTCAGGTGATCCCAGCTGGCTGGGTGGGAAGGTGATGGGAACATAAAGAGTGAGACTTGGCACCATGAATTGTCCAGCTGTGTCATGCCAAACCCTCTTTTCTCTCTCCCCTCCCTGTCCCACCGTACCTGGCTGCACAATCCCTCAGACCTGAGGACGAACCCATGGAAGAGGAGCCTCCCCTGTAGCACCCACCTTTGAGCTGGAGTTCTCCTGTCTGTTCGTCTTCGTCTTGAAGCTCTGCCAAGAAGCTTTCTCTTGTTACTCCTGCGTCCTGTCACGGTTATTTCCCGAACACGGAAGGACAGCCAGGTGTAAAGCAAAGCAAGCGACACAAAAAACAAATCTCTCTGCATCTTTGAGTCTCTTTTTGCTGAAAAAAAAACGCTGGTGAAGAGCAGCAAAGGACTGACACGTTGGGCACTCTTCCTCTGGTCCTCACCGGGAGCAGAAAGAGGAACGATGCCTGGGAAGTCTTTGGCAGAGTTGCCAAACAAAAACGAAACGCGAGAATGATAAAGAAATCAAAGATTCAACAACACAAATCAAACAAACCTTAACATAAAACTGGTGCTTACAAAGTTGATTACCCACAACTGAGCAATCTCCGCTTGAACCACTCAACCCATTGTGTACTTTCATTTCTTGGATATTTGGAAATGGCTCTTGCCTGCCTGTGAGTCAGCAACAGCTCTTGTCGGAACTGGAACGTTGGGAGATGATGGTGAATTTTTAACAGGGAGGGACAGGGAACGAGGGACTCATCTGACACCTAAAGAAAAGGGAAGCAGAAGGGGGGAACAGTAGCCCAGATGGAGTCGGCTTTATTGTCTCCAAAGCCATCTGAAGATGAGTTTGTGCCTTTTTTTTTAATTGATGGATTTGGTGCAGCTGGATTTTCTGAAGTTTGAGGAACAATGCCTTAAGTAAAAATTAATTAAAAAAAACAAAACACACACAAAAAAAAAAAAAAAAAAAAAAAAAAAAAAAAAAAAAAAAAAACCACAGCAGTTCCTGAATATTTTTCCTCTGGTTGGGAAAGCCAAGGACTGCCATCAGGAAGGAAGACTTTTTGGCTTGTGCTGGCATGATGGTGGGAAGCAGGCATCAGCTGAGCAGAGCGTCTCCAAAAACTGTCGACAAGTTTAGATTTGTTTTGTTTTCTTTCATTGCTGTTTCAGAGAAAAGGAAAAAAGAAAAAAAAAATTAAGGTAGTTGCCAAAAAAGTGGCAAATACTGTTGGGTCTTTGAAATTCAACCATTTTTAACAACCAATTTTCAAATGTTTTGTCTCTCTTCTACATTATCTAGCAATTGAACTTATCAATTTGGTTGTTGAAGCATGTATTAGACACAAATGCAGGTTTTAAGACTGGAATGCTTTTTATTAAAAGCAACTAGCATGAGATATTGCTTAAATTGTTAGGTATAAATATATATATGTGTATAATGTATATTCCAAATGTATTCCAAGCTTAGAAACCGGATTCCTATGAATTATTGAGAAAAATATTTATGATGCATTTATAGAAAAAAGAAAACAAATATATGTAATAAATGCATACTCTAACAGTAGCCATTGAAAGCTCCCTAGGGACGGATTTGGGAATTGGAACGTCAAAGGTGCTTTTGGAAAAGGATCTAGGTTGAAACTCGAGGACTTTCAGGCGACAGGTTGGGAAGTTTTTCAGAAAGCCAACACTTTAGCCACTGGGCAACTACCCTAAACATTTGTATTTTAATTTAAGGTTTTTTGTTGTGATCCTTTTCTAACAAACATGAGAAAAAAAAGAGTTTTTTATAGCAAAGACGCTGAATTTGCTGTTAATTTTTATATGGATATTTCCCAAAACCCTCCGGAAGCCTTGTTTGTGTGACTCTGACATTTCTTTTCCATTTGGCAGGTTTCCTTTCTGAACGGCAATAGCATCTAAACCTTTCTTCTTCCCTCTTTTCTTGCTTATAATACATGGGTTTTCCTTTTTTTTTCTTATTTTATTTTTTTTTTCTCTGTATTGTTTTCTCTCCTTTTCCTCAACTCTTTTGTACAGTGAGCAGCTTTCTGCAGGTGTAAGGAACTGTGGGCAGACCAACAGAGGTTGTTTTTTTCCGGGAAAGGGCGCATTTTACCGAGGAGGAGGATGAGGGACCGCGATGGGCTCCTTTGTTGTACCGATTCCGCCGACTGTATATTTCCTCAGCTCTCTTGTAGTAGCTCTGTAAAGAAAATAAGGAATTTTCTTACCTGGTAGTGTTCAGTGGGCAATGCCTTTGTCCTGCCCGCGGCTCCTGGCGCTGCCTACCCTCGGGAAGGCTCCTTGGATACTCCGGGACCGCCGGCGTTTTCTCTCCGCCGGACATGCCCGCAAACTCCCCAGCTCCTCTCTCCCTCTTTTTCTCCCCTCTTCTTCTTCTTCTTCTTCCTGATGCTGGGAGGGGTTTTGGAGGCTTTACTTTTTTTGCCCCCCGCCACCCCGAGGAGGTCATTGCCTCCAGGGAATGCCGGGTGGGAGAGGCCGCGAGCCCCGTCACGGAGAGCGGAGTGTCTTCGCAAAGACGGCGCTCCCCGCGTGCCTTCCTCCGGCAGTGTAGGACAGCACATCCCTCTTCCCAGCACAGCTTCTCCTTAACCGCCCTTCCTTCATTTGTCCTGTTCCCATGGTGACTGGTGGGGTTGCTTCCAGTAACTTCTCTTCTTTCCAGTTCTCGAAGCAGCCGCTTTCGTTCCGTTCAGGACTCACTCGTGTGAGGAATCGGGAGCATGACCCCCCGCTGGAGGCTTTTGTTTCCTTCCTCGATTTCTAGCGCAGTTTCAGAACCAGACACTACAGTATTTGAGTTGTGCAAACCCAAGTACGTCCTAAAACCCCAAAAAGCTCCAGTGGCAAGGCCTGTCCTTGGCATATCCTAAAAATCCCCCCGTGTGAGAGCACTGCGTACCCGGGGATGTTGTGGTTTGGGTTTTCTTCCATCTGACCACGCTGCTGCTGTGATCTCAAATCCATCTGACTGCCGAATTTGGTGACAGGTGTGAGGTTTTGCTTCCTGTGCCATGGGCAGTGCCTGTGTTTACACCTCCCTTTGTGTTGTCAGCTCTTCCCTGGAAGGTTTTTGACATTTCTGCTCCCGGCTGTGGCAAAGCTTTTTCCTTCCTTTTTGCTCTCCCGGGAGCCGCCGGCTGACTGTGCTGAGCCGGTTCCTTTGGAAAATCCGGAGGAGCTTGTTGGGATGCCACCTTCCTTCCTTCCTTCCTTCCTTCCTTCCTTCCTTCCTTCCTTCCTTCCTTCCTTCCTTTCCTTCCTTTCCTTCCTTTCCTTCCTTTCCTTCCTTTCCTTCCTTTCCCTCAGCTTTTTGCCGGGATGGGAAGATTTTTCCCGAGATGACAGAGCTCGTCTCCTCCAAACTCCCGGCACTGTGGATTTGTTTCGCAGCATCCCCCTTTTCCCTGGGAACGCTCTTCCCTGGGCTGTGACCTTCCCTGGGGATGCTCTTCCCCGGGGATGCTTTCCAGGGCCAGTGCAGGCACGGAGAGAAAGGAGAGAGCCCTTGTTTTGAGGCTCTCCAGGGGGATTTTTCACCTTTTTGAGCCATTAAGCTTCTTCATTTCAGATGACTTTGCCACGGGGGCGGCCATGCCAGTGCGGTGGGAGCCCGGGATGCTCCCACATCCCGGCACGTGCTGCCCAGGGCATCCTTTGTACCTGCTTGGGAAGAAAAGGAACATCTTTCAATCCTCTTTACAGTGAAGTGAGGCCCAGTTTGCAGTACACAAGTAACCATTGGGGGTTTTTTGGTTGGTGTTTTTTTTGTTTGGTTGATTGTTTTTTTGTTGGGATTTTTTTTTACTTTCGATACAAAACATTCCTTTTTTTTATTAGTCACGGTCATGTACTCATTCCATTCTTCCTTTTGTAAACTTTTTTGGGCCCATGTTCTTTTACGGGCATTGATATATATAAATATATATATAAATATATATGAATATATTTTTTTAAGTTTCCTACACCTTGAGGTTGCATGGTCTGTAAGGTTGGCATGTCTTTATATTGTATACAGATTTTGCACGCCAAACTTGGCAGCTTTGAAAACGATAATGAGAAAAAGAAAACAAAAACAACAAAAAAAAAAAAAGAGGTGGTTTGGGGTTTCTTTGGGTTGGTTTTTGTTTTGGTTTGGTTTTATATTGTTTTGGTTTTTTTTTTCCTCTCGTGGCATTTGTGGAGACTAAAGGTTGGGATGTTGTTGTCACACACACTCACTCACCCACACAGCTACACACCAAGGAAGAAGAGTGGGAATTCTTTTTTTTATTTTTTTGGAGTCTTACTGAACTTAATAAGAAGAAATTGTGCTTTTTATTGTTAAAAAGAGTAAATAAATAAAAAAAAAAACAAAAAGGACTACTTAAACATTTCTCATTTTAAGAAGAAAAGAAAAAAACTAAGACGTTTATCTAGCACTTGTGACTTACCAATAATAGAGTTTATTGTATTTATGTGGAAACAGTGTTTTTAGGGAAACTATGCCGAACACACCAAGTAAACTGCCTGTGTCATTATTATTATTGTTATTATTATTATTTTCCTTTGGGTTGGTGTTTTTGCTTTGATTTCTCGGCTGGGTGGGGAGGTTGGATGCAACCCTTGTGTCAACACACAGAGTCATTCATTCCGAGGAGCTGGACGGATGGATGGATGGATGAGGAGGACTTTAAAGAGTTAACTCTTCAGCACAGCTGCGTTAACTTTTTTAAGAAATTACTTTTACATGATGTATTTTTGCTCGGTTTCACTTTAAGCAGTCGTGTACTGTGCAACACTGTGGTTTAAAAACGAGACTTTACAGCAAAAGGCAAAACGTGTTTCTTCATTGTCATGAAGTTGGGCTCGTTCTCAGCTCATCTTCACTTTGTCTTTGATATTGATGATGAAAAAGAAAAAAAAGTATCCTATTGAAAGAAAATAAATTAACACTTTTTCTGTGCTCCATAGTGGAGGCGCTATTTTCCAATTTATGAGGATGACAAACTTATATATATAATATATATATAAAAGTGGGGGTGGGGAGGGGGGGGAGGGGTTGAAACATTATTCACCCGAGAGCTTATTACAGATATGTAGTATCAAAAAGTTGTAACGATATTATATTCTACTTTATACCTATACATGCTCAGTATGACGTCACCATTGGTAGCAGCTACCGGTTTACGCTGTAATTTAGACACAATTTCACTCTTCTTGTATGGACCCTACTTTCAGTGATGGTAGCATTCTTTGTGCTCAACTTTCCGACGGTCCTTTCTTTTAAACTGGTGGAGTTGGAATATTTTTCTCGTTCTTGTTTTTTCTTTCTTTGTTTTTATTTTATTTTTATTTCTTTTCTCTTTATTTTGTTTGGGGTTTTTTTTCTTTTTTTTTTTCTTTTCTTTTTTTTTTACTGGCCAATGGTGTCTTTCTCTGACAGTACCGACTTCAATTTCAACTTTATTAGGAGTCCAGTATTTTGTACCACATTATGACAACTTGTTATTCTTGTGGTGTAAATAAAAGAAAAAAGTTAATTATAGTACCACCCAGGTTTCTGCTGCTGATCTTCTTTCCTTCCTTTGCTGGGATGGGACGTTTCATCTGTTGGGTTCTTGATGTGTCATGGAAGGGGGTCTTGGTGCCAGAGAGGTTTTTTGGGCAAAATATACCCATGTCTACATTGGGGTGTTCATGGAATAGCTCCTGGATTTTCCCAGTTCCCTTGTGGCTCCCAGGTGCGTGTTGACAAGTGCCTGCAAAAAACCAATTGAGTTTCCAGGTGAAGCAGCCCCAGCTTTATACCTTTCACAGCCTTTTTCATACGTGTTTTCCCTCTGATTGGCTTCCTGCTTGTCTCTGGAGCCCCCTGAACCATCCAAAATCCATCTGCTCCATGTGTGTCACCTGGAATTGTCCTGTGGTCACAGGGGAGAAGGCCACGCTTCAGTTAAGGGCTCCTGGTGGGAGGGATGGGGAGAGCTCCCAGGGAAAACTCGGGATGCTCCCAATTCCCTCAGCAGTGAAACATCCCCTGCTGCTTCAGCCTGATTCATGGGAATCATGGAGTGATTTGGGTTGGAAGGATCTGGGAGGTTCCTTCTCATCCCACCCCTGCCATTCCAGGGGTACCTCCCACTGTCCCAGGCTGCTCCAAGCCCCAGTCTCCAACCTGGCCTTGGACACTTCCAGGGATCCAGGGGCAGCCACAGCTGCTCTGGGCACCCTGTGCCAGGGCCTGCCCACCCTGCCAGGGAACAATTCCTAATTCCCAATATCCCATCCATCCCTCCCCTCTGGCACTGGGAGCCATTCCCTGTGTCCTGTCCCTCCAGCCCTTGTCCCCAGTCCCTCTCCAGCTCTCCTGGAGCCCCTTTAGGCCCTGCAAGGGGCTCTGGGGTGTCCCTGTATTTGTGTGCAGAGTGGGTTGGTGATTGCTGTAGGACCATGACCTGGGGGTTCTGGCCTGGCTGGGAGGGCACCGGCAGCTCCCAGGAGCTCCTTCCTGGGAGTGAAATCCCACTCTGGGTGACCCAGCTGGGGCAGAGGTGTAGAGGGGTGGGGGCTGTTTCAGATGCCATCCCAGCCCCAGTGCCTATTCTAAATATAAATTCTAAATAAATTCTAAACTATACAGGCATCGTCTCACCTGCAGTGCTCTGAGCTCACCGTGGCACAGGGACATAAACCTGGGCAGGGGTTGAGCTCAGTGCTGTGCTACCTGCTGCTTTAGCCATGGGAATTTTTACTGCTGATCCCAAGGAAAATGACATTGTGCTGCAAGGAATGGGTTTTGAGGTGATTCCCTCGTGTGCCCGTGGCTGGGTGTGAGGAATGGATGCCCAGCTTGGCACTGGCACACCCTTCCCAGGTCCCTCACGGAGTTTAATTTTCTTAATTTCACTTGTTTTACTAATATTTTTAAAGGAGGAAGAGCCTGTTTCTGCCTCTGGGCAGCAAGTCAAGGCTTTGTGCTTTAGATGCATGCCTGTGGCAGTGGGAGCACTGCAGGGGGAGGAAAAGGTCCAGTGTTAAATGTACAACCTGAGCACACAGGGGGCAGGAGCTCATTCTGTGCCAGCAAAACATCCTGGATTTATGATGGGATTTGGATCTGTGTGGAGCAGAAACTTTCTCCTAGGGCTGGCTTGATCTCTTAGGGAATTCTCTGAAGCTCACTCAGGCACCTGAGAGTTCATTTGTTGTTCCTGCCTGGGTGTGATGTGTTGGTGCAACCTGCAGAGCTGCCCTGGGATAGAGAAAATGATGGGGAAAATAGTGTGGGCCAAGGCTGAAGAAGGTTCATGGCCACAGGGACCTGGAAGGGCTGGACCTCTGGAGGCACCTGGAAAACCAGGGCTCCTCAGCCAGGCTGCTCACAGAGCAAGAGAAATACATTTTAAAACTTGTGGTAAAAAACTCAGCTCCCCAGGCTGTGGGGAAGGCACAGTCTGCCTTTTTTCCAGCAGCACAAGCTGGCAAAGTCAGTTCCTGCTGAGGCTGGGGAAAATACTCCATCCCACAGCTGTGCTAATGGAAGGCTTCAGCAGGAACAGAGCAAATCCCATCCTAATTGAGGGAAAGGACTCCTGGCTGGGGGACACAGAGCGGGGCCAGGTGTCTTCTGGATGCCCACGAGGGAAAAGCAAACCTCTGCCCGTGTTTACAGCAAATTAAATGGTTCAGTAGCAGAAGGAAATGTTTGGGGTTGAAACAAAACCACCCCAAAATCTCACTGTTGCACAGCAGAAATGGGGAAAACATTTCCTGTGTAGATTGGATCACACAGCCAGAGCATCAGTGTGCATTAGCCACAGACAGGTGCCCTTTATCTGATTTATTACAGACCCTTTTGAGTCTTTTTCATCTATTTCTTTATTAATTCATTCCCCTGCCCCATGGAGGGAAGGTTTAGAGTCACAGAGTCACAGAAAGGGACTTGAGAGATCATCTTGTTCCAGCCCCCTGCCATGACCAGGGACTCCTTCTTCAAATTCAGTGCAATTAAAGGGGGGGAAAAAAAAGGGGGTGGGAGGGGGGTTTACTGTATTTAGAAGGATGAGGGTGCAGACAGAATTGTGCATTTGTGCTGTATCAAGGCACAATTATCCAATGGTCAACAGCTTCAGAGTGCCTGCAGGAACAAGAAACCTGTTTCCCATTAAATTGGGAAGGGAAGGGGGAGCAATTCCTGGGCTTTAAAGGCGATTAAAGTGTCCTTGAGCAAGTTTTCAGAATTTCACTCTTCAATTACACGTTGGAGTTTGAAAGAGGGGGAAAAAAAAAATAAAAATCCCTCCTTCCCCACTAGCAGAGAGCAATTGCTGCAATTCCCCCCAATCCCCATGGATAATGCAGCCAGCGCAGGCTCAGCAGCCGCCTTTGAGCCGGCTGGGTTCAGCCGCTGGTGAGCAGCGAGGATTCCTGGAGACGATTTATCCTGGAGCCGGTTTATCCTGGAGAAGGTCCTGGTGCTGCTGAGGGTCCCCAGCCCGGGCAGGGCAGCCTCAAGGCTGCTCCGAAATCCTCCTGTGCAGGAAAAGCGGGACCAAAAGGGATGAAATCCTTTGGGCTTTGGGAAAGGGGGAGAGCTCTCTCTGGAAGGGAGGGAGCTTGGAGCAGAGACGGGGAGAACCTCTCTGGGAGCATCCTGAGCCCATCCCAAGCCCTGCCAAGGCTGGGGACTGTTGTGTTTGGGGACCCTCGTGGCAGGAAGGCAGGAATGATGAGTCTGACTCCATGTTCTCAGAAGGCTAATTTATTATTTTATGATACTATATTATATTAAAGAATACTAAACTATACTATGCTAAAGAATACAGAAAGGATACTTACAGAATGCTAAAAAGATAATAATGACAACTTGTGACTCTCTCCAGAGCCCTGACACAGCCTGGCACTGTTTGGCCAATGAGTGAAAACAGCTCACAGCAGAATCCAATGGAACAATCACCTGTGGGTAAACAATCTCCAAACACATTCCACATGAGCACAACACAGGAGAAGCAAATGAGATGAGAATTGTTTTCCTTTTCTCTGAGGCTACTCAGCTTCCCAGGAAAAAAATCCCGGTTGAAGGGACTTTTCAGAAAGTATGAACGTGACGGGGAGTGCCGGGCCAGCTAAGGGAGCAGGGGCTGCACCCCCCCGCAGTTGCTTTTAGGGAATGTCCACAGCCAGGTGCTCACCCCACCTCTGGGGGATGCAGCTGGGGAGGAGGAGGAGGAGGAGGAGGAAGCTGCAGAATACCTGCACACCCGAACCACAGAGTGCTGCTCACCGTTCCGGCTGGAAGCTGACCGGGGCTGCCTGGCTCCCCGGGGCTGATGGATGATGGCCCCTGGCTCGCTGGGATGCTTCCCCTCCTTCCAGGGGGCTGGGGATGCTCAGCCTGTGGCTGGTGAAGCAGCTCAGTGCCAGGGATAACAAACTGCCTTGGCCAGGTTCGTCTGCTGGGCTTGGGCAGGGCCCTGGGCTGTGCCAGACCCTGGGAGTGCTGAAAGTGGGGCTGGGGCTGGGTTATTCCACAGGCTAATTCCTCTTTCATCTAAAGCCTTTTCATATTTGACCTGTCTCCCCTTTATCTGCCATGGGAAATTCGATTTCCACTGTTGTTCCAAAACAATTCCTCTCTGTTCCCTTTGTGAGGCAAGAGAGGCAGGGCTGAGGGCTGGAGTGTCCAGGGCTGCTTCCCAGCCCTGCTGTGGAGAGGCTTGGAGGGCGATGGAGGGAAGAGGAATCCAAGCAGGGAAATATCTGCAGATCCCATCAGGGCTGGAATCCACTCTGGGAGGCAGATGGATGAGGCCCCCCTCGTTCCCAAGGTTCCTGGCTCACCTGCCTGTGCTGCTGGGCTGCTCAGCCAGTCCTTCCTGGTGCACAGCCATGCTGGAATCTGGTCTGGAGGCAGGGAAGTGACACAGAAAGATGGAACTTGGCAGGTCCCAGCCTCCCCTCAGTCAGAAAACTCGGAGCCTTGGGTTTATCGTGGAATCACTGTGGTTGGAAAAGCCCTCTCACAGCACAGAGTCCAACCATTCCCCCAGCACTGCCAATCCCACCACTGAGCCCTGTCCCCAGGTGCCACATCCGCAGGGCTTTTAAATCCCTCCAGGGATGGGGACTCCGCCACTGCCCTGGGCAGCTGTGCCAGGGCCTGACCTCCCTTTCAGGGAAGAAATTTTCCCTAATATCCAACCTAAGCCTTCCCTGAGGGACTGAAGAGAATCCCATTCTGGGACTCTCCGGTCCTCCTGAGCAGAATTGAACCATGTGGACAACCTGCAGAAGGATTAAAGGCATTTCTGGAGACTTCCAGGTGAGTTTTTGCTCTTCCCCCTTGTCCTTCTGTAGGACAGATTTCTTCTCCTGCTTTGCCCTCCCTGAAAGAGGTTTTGCCTGTGTCATCCTCAGCTTTGGGACTTTGGGGAGATGAAGATTCACAGCAGAGCAACTTCCAAGATGAGGAAAGGAGAACTCACAGCAAAAGCGCTCTGAAAAATGCATTGGCTGAAGGCGCAGGAGCAAGTCTCAGAGCAACATCTC